TTGAAAGCCAGGCTTTGTTATGTGAGAAATGGTTTCAAAGATTCTTTCAGCATGCATTAACTCATTAGGAAGCAAGAGTAGCTATGAACGATGCCCTAACTGAAAGAACACAAATGATAGGAAGAAAATCCTTGCCATGGGGAAGACAGAGGGGGAAGAAAGCTCCTTCTGATCCAGCTGATTCAGTGGGGGAGGAGGGAAATGACAGTACTGAGAGTCAGGAATTAGTCATTAGCCACCTGACTTCCCACTCCAACCCCTACTCAGGGGCTGTGGCTTATCCAGTCTCAACCTTTATAATACCCACTTCTCTGCATTGGGAAGGACACAGTTTGGTGGATGGAGCGTTAGTGGCTTCTCATCACGCTTGTGACAAAATCCTCACCACTCCAGAAGGCCTTATCTGTTTGTCTCTTTTTGAAAGATTTTAAATTGCCTTTATTTATTTGAAAGATATAGAAACAAAGTTAGAGCGAGGGCAAGAGCGGGAGAGAGAGTGCATCTGCTCCTGTCTGCTGTTAATCCCCAAATGTAAGCAAGTCAGAGCGGGGCCAGGAGGCAGAAACACATCTGGGTCTCCCATGTGTGGGAATCCAAGTATGTAAACCATCACCTACTGCCTCTCAGGATGTGCCTTAGCAAGAAGCTGGAATTGGGAGTGGAATGGGGCCTGCCTGAACTTTGGGCTGTGAACCCAGGTACTCTGATATTGAATACAGGAATCCCAAGTGGCATCTTTTTTTTTTTTTAACTTTTATTTAATGAATATAAATTTCCAAAGTACAGCTTACGGATTACAGTGGCTTTTTTCCCCCCCATAACTTCCCTCCCACCAGCAACCCTCCCCTCTCCCGCTCCCTCTCCCCTTCCATTCACATCAGATTCATTTTCAATTCTCTTTATATACAGAAGATCAATTTAGCATACATTAAGTAAAGCTTTCAACAGTTTGCACCCACACAGAAACACAAAGTGAAAAATACTGTCTGAGTACTAGTTATAGCATTAAATCACAATGTATAGCACACTAAGGACAGAGATCCTACATGAGGAGTAAGTGCACAGTGACTCCTGTTGTTGACTTAACAAATTGACACTCTTGTTTATGGCATCAGTAATCACCCTAGGCTCTTGTCATGAGTTGCCAAGGCTATGGAGGCCTTTTGAGTTTGCTGACTCTGATCCTATTTAGAGAAGGTCATAGTCAAAGTGGAAGTTCTCTCCTCCCTTCAGAGAAAGGTACCTCCTTCTTTGATGACTTGTTCTTTCCACTGGGATCGCACTCGCAGAGATCTTTCATTTAGTTTTTTTTTTTTTTTTTTTGCCACAGTGTCTTGGCTTTCCATGCCTGAAATACCCAAGTGGCATCTTAAATGCGGTGCCAAATACCTGTCCAATTGGCTCTTGTGACAGAATTTTTGCATAGTGACTTAGCCAAAGAGCAGTTTATTTCCTCAATACTCCAGAGACGCTGTGTCTGTGGCTGGTGCAACTTTTTGAAGAAGCCATAAGACCCAGTCTCCTTGCACCATACCCAGCCATCCACATAATGGCTCTTAGTCATTATGATCTCAAGAGAACTGCTCCTGATCTACGAAATGTGCCCTCCTTTCAAGCAGGAATCAAGGAGGGTGGCAAAATGACCAAGGCAAATCATGCCTGTGAAATGAAGCAGTAAGACCAACACTAGGGCCAGCATTGTGGCGTATCAGGTAAAGCCGCTGCCTGTGACACCAGCATCCCATATGAGTGCTGGTTCAGCTTGTGTCCTGGCTGTTCTACTTGTGATCCAGCACCCTGCTAATGGCCTGGGAAATGCAGCAGAAGATGGCCCAAGTATTTGGTCCCCTGATACCCATGTGGGAGACCTGGTTGATGCTCCTGGCTTCAGGCTGACCCAGTCCTGGCCATTGTGACCATCTGGAAAGTGAACCAGCAGATGGAAGATTACCCCCCCCCCCCCCGTCTCTCTCTCTCTCTGTCTCTCCCTGACTCTTTCAAAAAAACTCTTAAAAAAAAAAAAAAGAAGCAGACCCACCCTACTGACTCCCATTTTCATCTCATTGACCAGGAAAAGACCACTTGGCTTCTTTAGCTGTAGGGAGCCAGGGGGGCTGGGGGTGTACATTTTAAAATCAGGTATATTCCTATGAGGAAGAAAGAATGAGTGTTGGGAAAAAGCCAGCTGTGGCCATAGTACTGGAGCACCCCAGCGCCCTCATTGCAGATTACCACTCCTGTGGTTTACTATGCTTCAGTGCATTGACCTTTCAGTTCCTTATCATGGTCATGCTCTTTTCTTTTAATTTGTTTGAGAAGTACAGTTACAGCCAGTGAGGGTAGGGAGAGGGAGAGACAGAGAGACAGACAGACAGACAGACAGACACACACACACACACACACACAGAGAAAGAGACAGAGGTCTTCCATCCACTGGTTCACTCCCCAAATGGCCACAATGGACGGAGCTGGGCCAATCTGAAGCCAGGAGCCAGGAGCTTCTTCCAGGTCTCCCACACGGGTGCAGGGGCTCAAGGGCTTGGGCCATCTTTTACTGCTTTCCAGGCCATAGCAGAGAGCTGGATCAGAAGAGGAGCAGCTGGGACTAGAACCAGCGCCCATATGAGATGCCAGCGCTGCAGGCAGAGGATTAACCTACTGCGCCACAGCGCCAGCCCCAGTCAAGCTCTTTATTATTTCAGAGACGACTATGGCTTGGATATTAGTTTGAGTGTTCCTCAAAGGCCTGTGTGCTAAAGGCTTGGTGCCAGGGTGTTTGGCAAAGCAGTGGAGTGTCTGCTTCAGCAGAAGATTGGAATTGAAAGTAGAGAAGAAACACAAACCGAGACACACAGATGTGTGAGGTGGCATCCCAACCAGCATCTTAACTGTTCAGTCAAATGCCCAGTGCCCCATGGAGAATTTTGATAATGGCAAAGTAGGCTTCAGTCAAGTGAGTATTACCTTTGCTCAAGGACTGGGGTTCCTGAAAAATCTCTCAAAATAAGAAGACCAAACATGAAAATAAACGTCTGTATCTCTACAGGGCATAAATGATTTGTGTCTCACAATCAGGGACCCACTGGGATCAGTTGTACTGCTCCCTCAGTTTAGTGAATTAATTTTAGTAAGAGGTTGATTTGCAAACAAACTTTAAGGTTTCATTTTTCTTTGACCAAAGGTTTTGCAACTCCCTGCCTTACTCCTTTTCTCTCTGTTGAATTAATTTATGTGCAGACTTTGGAAAAGCTTAACTTTGCAAACAGAGCCTACCAAATACATTTAAGTAATGATGAATGGCTGTCAACATTAAGAACAAAACTTATCTGATCAGAGGGAGCCAATTATATTTAAAATGTATATTTTAACACAGCTCAAGCATCCCTATCCAAAAATATAAAATCTGAAACTTTGGAGTGCTGACATGATCAGTTTCACAAATGGAAAATTCCATACCTGACTTCATGAGTTACGTTGCAGTCCAAATGCAGGCACATTAAAATATTATATAAAGTTACCTTCAGGCTATGTGCATACAAATATACTTCATATTTAACCCTGAGTCTCATTCCCATATCTCATATATTTGAAAATAGTAAAAAAAACAAAAAACAAAAACAACAACAACAACAAAAAAAAACCCTGAAACATTTCTGGTCTCAAGCATTTCAGACAAGGGATACTCAACTGTGTACTTCCTCACCTAAAAGAGCAGTCAGAAACAAACAAATTTGACATTGACCAAGTAAGGACAGATTCTGTCTAGTAATGCTACTGCAATAGTCAGAGTTCTGTATGAACTCAATTCCATTGCCCGCAAACAAAAGGCTGGAGACTTTTTAAAGGCTGTTGTAAGCTAAGGGAGAAGCAGAGAAGGCTCTTAGAGGGGGTTGATGGATGCGACTAAGCAATCTGGGTTTCATTAGCATCTAGACAGAAGGGAAATAGCCTATTATAGAACGCAATGGTGCAAGAAGCAGTGAGGCGCCCCTTTTCCACAGGGACTGGAAGCAGAGTTATGTCCCTAAAATGTCTGATTGCACAAAGCTGGCGCTCCTGTCATGGCAGTGTTGGATGGTAGATAATTACCAAACGGTGGGGAAAGCATTTGTAAGTGCAAGCTTTTTGAAGTATCTGCTCTAAGAGGCTCACCGGCCTATCACCAGGGGTGGGGGTGGGGGTGGGGTGGGGCAAACAGCACATTCTCCTGGTAGTGCGCTTGTTTTCAGGCAGACGTCTTAACGGTGGCTGCTGCAAGCCGGGCCAGCGTACAGCCACGTTTTGTGCTGAGGTAAGTTTTCAGAACGGTTGTTAAACCTCGATTAATCTGGATTTCAAGATAGTCAACGTGTGAATTAGGTACTTAAAAAGTTAAACATTAACAAGATCATGAACATAAAAGATGAAAGATTACAAACTGCATTGGACAACCTGGGTTTCCAACTCTCTCTGGTGGCTTGGCTAATTTCGCCTCTCGAGTTTGGCGTACCAGGGTGTTGCCCTCCGCTTCTGCTCAAGACTGTGCGCCTATTTCACAGTCTTTACTCCTCCACGGGTTCCCAAGGGCCACAGCCAGCAAAGCTCTATGCAAACTGGCAACTGCGGCGAACTGGGTACAAAAGGAAGCGATACAGGGGTTTCAATTCCCTCCTCGACGTCTTCTTCCCGGACCCACAGTTCCAGCTAAGACCACGACTTGCGTCGGTCTATAACCCCGCCTGTCGTTAAAACACAGAGCTATAAACTTCTCTGAAATCCCTTTCCTTAATCTTCGCCCTTTTGCAGTTCCTCTTCTCCTACACGTCCCCTTTTCTCTAGCGCTGGTTCCACATCTCTGCCTCGGACCCAACGTGCCTGCGCGGACAGGGAAGTCGGCACGACTTTTGCTTTGCGGCGCTGCCGTAAAGCGCCTTCACGCGCTGAGGCCGTCACGGGACCTGGGCGCTGGTCGCTGAAGCTTCACCTGCTGGTCTGGTTTTCATCATCGCACTGGGGTGGCGTGGGGTTGCTATTTTGGGAGGACTGTTGGTTCTGTGTGTATTTACAGTTAGACGTAGTTGCTTAAGGGTACGGGAGGGCGGCCCGGTCCTAGTGCCCTCAAGTTTTCGGGGGTCCGGGCTGTGGGGAGGGCGAGAGCTGAGTCCCGATAGAGAGCTACTCGGATCCACGAAGCCGCCTGCGGGGCGCTGATGGCCGGACGTTTCCTGGGAAAGGCTCTAGCCACGGTGTCTCTCTCTGTGGCCTTGGCCTCTGTGGCTGTCAGGTCCACGGGCTGCCCAGCGTACAGGTATTTCCCCGACGCTTTGGGCTGGGCAAAGCGGACTCCGGGGGTTTATTCGCGCCTCGCAATTTTATTTTATGATAATATACAGTTTCCAAATGGCACCAGAACGTTTGATCTTCCTTTGGAGGAAAGTAGTGGCAGGGTCCGTTCTTGACTTCTGATTTTAAAATTTGGTGTCGTCCATAAGCTCCCAACGTTATCACTAGAGTTCAAATGACATTTGTTTGGGGATGGTGTGGCCCCGTGTGCGTTCGTTCTGGTTAGTAATAAAAACATTAAAATATATACGTGCATGCATTTTTTAAAAAATTGAGCAGTATAAATGATGTAAAACAAAAAATAAAATAACCATCCCTGTCTCTCCCGCCTCTATTTTCAGGGTAGGTAATGTGTTTGTTTTTAATATGATATTCGTCTGCCTTTTTTTTATATTTGCTTACTCTAGATAAGTTGAGGGATTTATGGTGCCTCACACTGCCTCCTACTTCTCATCTCTCCAGCTCGAGTGTTTGTTCTTTGAGTCAGTAAACAGAGCGCTAGGTACATTAGCGTTTCCTTATTTTATAGGTATAAAAAAACCTTTTGGATGTATAAAATGATAATTAGAGTATAACTTACATGGTTTCCAGAACTAATCTGCTTGCTTTCGGTCACTTGTTCTTTACTTTTGTTCCTTTGTCGTTCTGTTACTTTAAAAAAAAATTAACTCTGATGATCTGGTTATTTGTTTTGATTACTGTAACTAATAGGCATTTCTTATTGAATTTTGCCTCTTGGTGCTCCATCACCTCGCCTGGAAGGTTCCAGTTGAGGATTGTGTGAGCAGATACCAGATGGGCAAGCTGGGAACCCCCCTTTTGTCTCAGGCCTTGGTGCAGTGCTGGAGCAGCTTCTCTAACTTGTTTTCCTTCATGTGACTTGTGAAATTACTCAGCGTGCGTTTCTGCTATGTGCTCTGACACCAGAGTTCTCAGTAGCTGTCCTGTGCTAACTTCTGGATTCGTGCTGGGTAGGACGCCGGAGTGGTTTCTGTGGTTAGCGTCTACTCACTTCCAGCTCGCCACCTCTCAGGGCTTCCCTTGCAAGAAAGGCCTCTCTCTACTTTGTTCGGTTTTGATTGTCAGTCAGTATGATTCCACTGAGTTCCCATCTTCCTGAAGTTGATTAAAGTCTGTCATTCATTGGTGGAGTCCTGGTTTCTTGCTGTGGAGTTTTGGTTCCTTTTGTCGCATGTGCTCTCTGGAAGTCATTAATGGTATTTTTTGTTGGCAGCCACCAGAGTAATGTAAAGTTGCTTGGCAGTTATTCTTTATTTTTTAATGCTGGAACCCTAGGTGAAGCAGGTGAATTCAGAACCAGATATTGTGTACTTGGCTTGGAAGAAAAAGCCAAGTTAAAGCAACCAATTTGGGTCGAATCCCTGGTATCTGTTGCAAAGGCTCCTGAGAGAGACAAAAGGAACAGTATCAAAGAATTTTACCACTGTTTAATAATTTAGCAGATCCAGAAATGTGCTACCAAGCTATGAAGAGAAGGAGCATACTTAAATGATATGACTAAATGAAAGAAGCCAATCTCTTTCACATAGATTTAAAGTTATCTTTTATATTTTTACTATTAAATTTTTATAGTAAACTTCCCTTTCCCTAACAGGTAACACAAATGTAAACTTAAATAAGTTTGCTGAGTTGCCTTCAGTGAATAAAATTTAGCTATATTTAAATATTTTTTGTAGTTGAAAATAATCTCTCTCGAATATTGGACCTTTGTACCAAGTGCATCAAATTTGAATTTTCTGACTTTTAAAAGTTTTTGAAATTGAGAAATATGCTTCTGAGTAAGGTTTTTAAATTAGTATATTCTTGGCATTTATGTAAAACATTTTTTTTCCTCTCTACCCCCCAGAAACTCATTTTCATCCTATTGGATTCATCTTAATTGCAACATCATGTCTGGTTCTAAATGTATCAAAGGAAATTCCCACAGCAAGGCCCGAACATCTCCTTACCCAGGTTCAAAAGTTGAACGAAGCCAGGTTCCCAATGAGAAAGTGGGCTGGCTAGTTGAGTGGCAGGACTATAACCCTGTGGAGTACACTGCAGTCTCTGTCCTGGCTGGACCCATGTGGGCAGATCCTCAGATCAGGTGAGCAGATAAATTGACTTTACCAGTCATAAGCCATTTAGACAAAGTGGTGGATGAATTTATAAATTATCATTTTGACTCCTTAAAGTCATTTTTATTTACATTTGACTTTGTTATAATTTAGTTTCCACATTTTCTTGAATTCTTGTCAAAGCTAAACCAGTCATATTTGTTTATTCTTTTAGAAGTTTTAGGAAGGTCCTTTCAAATACATAAATTATTTTGATTTGAAATCTATTTTGCCATGAAATAACAGCTGGTGGTTTCTGTTTTCATGAGTCCTGTTTGGTTACCAATAGAATATCTTTTGTGATTATTTCCCAATATAGCTAGACTTGTATTTGAAGTAGTGAAAATATTTTTCAGAAATTTTTCCAGATTAGGATGATGATGAAATTATATCAATGTGTCGGGGCTGGCACTGTGGCATAGCGGGTAAAGCCACTGCCTGCAGTGCTGACATCCCATATGGTCACTGGTTCGAGACCCGGCTGCTCCACTTCCAATCAAGCTTTCTGCTATGGCCTGGGAAAGCAGTTGGAAGATGGTCCAAGTCCTTGGGCCCCTGCACCTGCATGGGAGACCCGGAAGAAGCTCCTGGCTCCTGGCTTCGGATCGGTGCAGCTCTGGCTGTTGCGGCCAACTGGGGAGTGAAACAGAGCATGGAAGACCTCTCTCTCTCTTTCTCTGCCTCTCCCTCTCTCTATGCGTAATTGTGACTTTCAAGTAAAATAAATAAATCTTTAAAAAAAAAAAAAGAAATTAGATCAATGTGAAAAAACAGACAAGGGATAGATACAGGGGAGGCAGAGAACATGAGAGTGAGTGGGAAGAGAAACTCAAGCCAAAATGCTTTGACTGAATTCATGGAAATTCTGCATTGAATCACACTTTCCGTTCCTTTTATTTTTCTTAGCTTTATTGAAGTATAATTTACAAAAATGTGTATTCAAGGTATAACCACAATTGCATGTTTTGATATATGTTGTGAAATGATTACCACAATCAATATCGAGGCAGTTAACATCCATCACCTCACATAGTTTTTTTTGTGTGTTTGGTGAGAACATTTAAGAGATAACTCTCAGCAAGTTTCAAGGGCATAATATAGTATTGTTAACTGTAGTCACCTGCTGTACATTAAATCTTTAGAACTTATTCTTCCTGTATAACTGAAACTGGTACTCTTTTACCAACATCTGTCCATTTCTCCCACCCCTTTATGCTCCTTTTAATAATGAATAATACTAGAGGTTTTTATGTATTGACTATGAGCTAGATACTAAATGCTTTTTGTAAACATCATTTTATTCTTTTAACCATTCTAGACACCAGATAGGGTTGTTTTAGTTTGTCCGATGCCTGTGATCACAGAGGTAGTAGATGGGGACTTGGGCTTGAACTAGGTCTGATTTCAGAATTCATTCTCTTAACTACTCTCTTCACCTTAGTTCTAGAACACTTTTATAAGTTTGATTTACAATGGGTATGCCTATTGTAAATGATAGTCCTCTCAAAGCATTATTTAGCCTGTTAAGTAAAAAAAAAAAGTTGCTGGTTGGGTAGATCCAATATTAGTTTATGAGACTGTTGAACCTCACCATGCACTTGATTTGATTTGACCCGTGATTTCCTTATTCTGTCCAAAGCTGTGTTTATAACTTTGTGAAAGCATTTGGATTTTTAAATAATCATGATAATAACCTATGGATAAATTATTGATTTTAAAGGAGCTCCATTTCCCCCATTTTAGAATGTACATATTTCTGCATCTATTATACATAACATTATGCACAGTTAAAATTGATAGTGGTTCCAAATGGTTTAAATAGAAGATTGAATACATTTTCTAATTTTTCTTTATTTTAAATAAAATCAATAAAAATAAAATAAAAGATTATTTTTTAAGAATTGAATTTCTTTCACCATATAAGTCAAGCCTTTTTATTTTTATTTATTTTATTTTATTTTATTTTATTTTTTTTTTGACAGGCAGAGTGGACAGTGAGAGAGAGAGACAGAGACAAAGGTCTTCCTTTGCCGTTGGTTCACCCTCCAATGGCCGCCGCGGCCGGCGCGCTGCGGCCAGCGCACCGCGCTGATCCGATGGCAGGAGCCAGGAGCCAGGTGCTTTTCCTGGTCTCCCATGGGGTGCAGGGCCCAAGCACTTGGGCCATCCTCCACTGCACTCCCTGGCCACAGCAGAGGGCTGGCCTGGAAGAGGGGCAACCGGGACAGAATCCAGCGCCCCAACCGGGACTAGAACCCGGTGTACCGGCGCTGCTAGGCGGAGGATTAGCCTAATGAGCCGCGGCGCCGGCCAAGCCTTTTTATTAACATTAATACATCCTTTACAAAGATCTTGAACATTTCTAGCATACATTATGTCTCTTTAATCTACATAATTATTATGCAGTGTTTGAATTCTCTGTTTGGAGTTCACCTTGATAAAAATATTAATCAGTGTACATTTGAAGAAACTGAAATTACTTTGGAACAGTAGAAACATCAAGATAGCAGAAAGAATATTATTTTTGAAATCACATGGAAACCAATAATTTCCCTATTGTGCACATAGACAGTGTAGACTTTTTTTGTAGTATTTGGGAGGAGCTCCAGTTCTTTAGCCAGTAATCTTTCTTAGAGAGATTAATATGGTCAATAATAATACACTTCCTTTTGTTGTAAAGTGTTTTGGTTAAAAAGGTTTTTCTTTGCTTAGAAACTGTTTTGAAGGAATAAAGTGGATTTGTAAGTGAAAACTAGCCCCTAAAATTTTTTACTTTTTCAGGGACACTGTTTATTATGAATAACAAATTGACTCACAATATTAAGCTATTTATAGTGTTGATTCATTTCTTAATTTTGCATTGGTATTCTCATTGCAGTGAAACTAACTTTTCTCCCAAGTTTAATGAAAAGGATGGGCATGTTGAGAGAAAGAGCAAGAATGGCCTGTATGAGATTCAAAATGGAAGACCTAGGTAGGTACTGGGAATTGAGTTTTTTATAATAATGGTCTTCAAAATATAGAGAAGGTCACGTTTCTGGAGTGCTTGTATGTGTCCGACATTGTCCAAGAGAATTTAGATGTGATTAGCAAACGCCAATGCCAGCTTGCCTGAGGAAAAAGTGGAGTTTGTTTTAGGCTATAGGATTATCTCAGGGACTCAAAGCATAAATGCTGGTAACTTTAGAAAGAGCAGAACTGGACATCCACCAGGACTCTGTTTCACTTCTGCTTTGCTCTATATGTTGTCTTTATTTCTCTCTCTGTAATCAACTTTCTCCATTTATCAGGTATATTGTCAGCTTTTCAGTGCTACAACAGATATCTGTGAGAAGCTGACTTTATAGAGAAAAGGTTTCGTTAGCTTGCAGTTTCAGGGGTTCAAGTCCTAGACCAGCAAGGCCCATTGGTTTGGCCTTTGATGAGAGTGGCAGTGGTGGAGTGTGGAGCAAGTGAGGAGGCAAGCCGGGAAGCTGAGAGAGCCGCCGAGCCCCACTAAAGGTTTTATAACAAACTCTGTCATGAGAACTGCCTTCCAGGGGGCATGCCCCTCATGACTTAAGGACCTTCCTCTGGGTCCAGCTACTAACAAGAATTTTCCACCCTCTTAGTACCATTAATTTACTATGTTGGGGTTTAAACATCAGCATCAGTTTGGAAGCCAACTCTTACTAAGCTTTAGACTATAGGATAGTATAAAAGTATGTTCTGCAATTTTAAGCTTATACCTTATAGGCTTGGGGATCTGTAAAAATGAATAATCTCAATTTTGGCTTTGATCATTTGTGTTTGGGATTATGCAATTACATGGAATAAAATATGGTTGTTAGCTACCCTTCCTCTCCTGTGAATTTGAAAAGAATTGTCAGCTAGCCCAGGTATTTCTGTCTTTGTTTGCAAGTCTTGTGGATCCATTATAAAATGGTATAAAAAGTTACCCTGTTTTGATAACACTCTCAGGGAAGAACAGTATAAAAAGAAATGGCTAAAAGGGTAATTTTGACAAGTTTTTAATTTACTTTCATGTTCTGAAAGAACAAAAGATACAGCTTTTTTGTTTTTAAGATTTATTTATCCTCTCTACCTCTCTCTGTAACTGTCTTTCTCTATCTTAATCTTTCTTTTCGACAGGCAGAGTGGACAGTGAGAGAGAGAGACAGAGAGAAAGGTCTTCCTTTGCCGTTGGTTCACCCTCCAATGGCCGCCGCGGCCGGCGCGCTGCGGCCGGCGCACCGCGCTGATCCGATGGCAGGAGCCAGGAGCCAGGTGCTTTTCCTGGTCTCCCATGGGGTGCAGGGCCCAAGCACCTGGGCCATCCTCCACTGCACTCCCTGGCCACAGCAGAGGGCTGGCCAGGAAGAGGGGCAACCGGGACAGAATCCGGCGCCCCGACCGGGACTAGAACCCGGTGTGCCGGCGCCGCTAGGCGGAGGATTAGCCTAGTGAGCCGCGGCGCCGGCTTTGTAACTGTCTTTCAAATAAATAAAAATAAATCTTTAAAAAAAAAGAGGGGGGGGCGGCTGGCGCTTTGGCACAGTGGTTTAAAGCCCTGGCCTGAAGCGCTGGCATCCCATATGGGCGCCAGTTCTAGTCCTGGCTGCTCCTGTTCTGATCCAGCTGTCTGCTGTGGTCTGGGAATGTAATAGAAGATGGCCCATGAGAGACCTAAAAGAGACTCCTGGCTCCTGGCTTTGGATTGGCACAGCTCTGGCCATTGCAGCCATCTGGGGAGTGGACCTGTGGATGGAAGACCTCTCTCTGTCTCTACCTCTCTCTGTAACTCTGTCTTTCAAATAAATAAAAATAAATCTTAAAAAAAAAAAGAAATTTATTTATTTATTTGAAAGGCAGAGTTACAGAGTCAGAGGCTGAGGTGGAGAGAGAGGCAGAGAGAGATCTTCCATCCACTGATTCACTCCCCTAATGGCTTCAACAGCTGAAGCTGGGCCTATCTGAAACCAGGAGCCAGGTGCTTCTTCTGGGTCTCCCACGCCGGCACTTGGCCATCTTTCACTGCTTTCCCAAGCCATAACAGAGAGCTGGATTGGAAGTGGAGCAGCTGGGTCTTGAACTGGCACCCAAATGGGATGTCAGCACTGCAGTGGGTGCTTTTACCTGCTACGCCACAACGCTGGCAAGGTAACAGCATTATATAGAGATTAGGCCATAATGTAAAGCTGAACATTTAAAGAATTTTGATTGGAATAAAATTGCTCATTTATGAGTGTTGATGTTTATCTGATAAAATTTTGTTTAAGATTTGACTTATTTATTTGAGAGGTAGAGTTACAGACAGAGAGAGGGAAAGACAGAGAATGGTCTTCTATCTGCTGATTTGACTCCCCAGATGGTCCCAACTACCAGAGCTGTGCCTATCCAAAGCCAGGAGCCAGGAGCTTCCCTTGGATCTCCCAGGTGGGTGCAGGGGCCATCCCCAACTACTTTCTCAGGCCATAGCGGAAAGCTAGATCAGAGGAGTAGCTGGGACACAACCGGCACCCATGTGGGATGCTGGCACTCCAGGTGGAGCTTTAACCCACTACGCCACAGTGCCGGCCCCCGCTGATACACATTTTAATGCTGGTTGTAGCGTAAGTTTAAATAATAAGTTGGTATTTTTTTTAAAGTGGGATTTTATTATGCTTGAAATCTGTGAAATAATAACACTAATGCTTTATATGCTATAAAATACACATATTAACTGATAATAAAAATCCAAAATCCATTGAGGGAAAATATAACAAAATTTTAGCAAAAATTGCCTTAATGAGAAAGTGGAATAGGAGGGGGTGAAAGGGAAGTGAAGTGTGGATATTTTGAAAGATGGAGAGAGAGATGATAGGTACAGATATAGATGATTAGGTAACAGAGAATTCTAAGTGTCCAGTAAGGTTCTAATTTGAATTGGGGAATATAAGTGAAAATGGAAACAAATTATTTTATTGTAGAACCATTTTGGAAATGAGATCTTCCTCCTGGGTAATGCCCGTAGCTTAAAACATGCACAGAAGAAGAATGGAGTAATAGAGTAATAGTATAATGAACTGGGAGATTTCACTGCCAGATGTGTGGTAATGCCACTAGATTTGTGAGGGAGTATTTCCCTCTTATTGTTTGCACTATCTTTTGGGCTGTAGCAAGCTGGATTCAAGAAGATGAATAGGGGCCACGTTGTGGTGCAGTGGGTTAAGTCCGTGTCACAGGCGGCTTATGAGCGCTAAATCATGACTGCTGTGCTTCTGATCAAGCTCCCTACTAATGCAACCAAGGAAAGCAGTGGAAGATGGCCCAAGTGGCTGGGCTCCTTCCACCCGTGTGGGAGACGAGGATGAAGTTCCTGGCTCCTGGCTTAGGCAGGCCCATCCCTGGTCATTGCAGCCATTTGGAGAATGAACCAGCTGATGGAAGATCTCTGTCTTTCCCTCTTCTCTATCACTCAGCCTTTCAAATATAAATAAGATAACTTTTTAAAAAAGAAAACAAACACATATAATTGATTTTATTATTTTCTTCTAGAAATCCTGCAGGACGGACAGGATTGGTTGGCCGGGGGCTTTTGGGGCGATGGGGCCCAAATCATGCTGCAGATCCCATCATAACCAGGTAAAACCCAATGAAATATTTCAGTAACACATAGCTGAGTGACTGGAAAAACAGATTGTAGGTGTGTGTGTGTGTGTATGTGTGTATGCTTATGTGTTTGTATATGCACATTTATATATGTATTTATATATGTTTGCAGATATATATCTCAATACACATATATCCTTGTGTATGTATATATGGATATATAAAGTATATTTGGAAAGACTACATAAAATTGTAATAAAGTTACATCAGTATAAGGCTGTAGTGTTGTTACATTGTTGTGGGCTAGATTGGACCAAAATTAATTTTCCAGACTCTTGCCTTTTACTTAGAGAATTCTAAGTACAGACCCAAACATGGTATGCAGTGTGATAAACTTTATTTACAAAGTGAGAAAAATACATAGGCTCATAGAGCTTTATTTAGGGAAAGTGGGCTAAGTAAAGGAAATTACCATACCTTGCTCTGCTCATCCCGAGTCCATGAGGAAGAGAAAGTGAATTTCTGTTTTACCTTACTTTTTATGAGTTTCGAAAAATGAAAGTGTTTACATGGGACCACCCACACATCATGGATAAGAGGAAATACTTCTTGGGGCGGGGTCCCCTGATTGACAGGTAGCTGAACATGGCAACACAGAGCAAAGGAGGTGCAGCTTCCAGCTCATGAACTTAAAATTATCTATATAAGCTTACTCATATCGATATGAGTAGGTTAGGAATTATGTAAAGGAAGTTAATTCACCATATATTTATTTAGCCTCTATTTGTTGTCAGCATTGGGTAGGTCCTTTGGAGGAGATAAAAAAGTATAAGAATCCAATGTTTGAGGTCCCTGTCATTGAAGACCTATGTTTTCATTTGCAAAGTAAAATATATGAAAACTTGAAATAAGAAAACAAATCTTGTATGATTAAGTAACAGGAATGATACAGGATGCAGAAGAAAGTTGGATGTGGGTCATGACCATGGTGAACTGGAAAACCCAAGAATGATATTATAGGAGGTAGATTTGAGCCCAACTTGAATTTTGTGTGATTAGAAAAGAAGAAGCCTAATAAAATCGTTTGTAGTAGTGTGTGTTTGATTCAGGGCAATAAAAAGACCAATTTGTTTTGAACAGAGACTCTTGTAGGGAATAGGGGATGATAACTTTTGTGTAATTCTGTTGTGGGGAATATTAAATGCTGGAGTTAAGGAGTGGTATCCTCTTCCTGAGGCAGAGCAATCTGGCAATCCAGATCGTATTTGGAAGGTCCTTTTTTGAGCATGAATCAGAATAAAGAAGGTAGCTGAACCTAATGTTTAGATGGACTTTGGCATCACCAATCTCCAATGCAGTTGGAGTATTCTGTCATATCTATCCTTTTTCCTTTTAATTTTTTACTTCTAGGATCTGTTCACTGACCCAACTGCCTCTCCACATGAAAATAATGCTTTGTTTCTTAAATAGTGCAAAATCCCTCAATATTGTTACTTCTTAAATTTTAATATTTTGGAGGCCTTCCTTTCTACAAGGAGAAACCTCCTCCTCCCCCTAAATCTGGGATATAATAAAGATTTGATAATTTAACTATAGGAAGACAGCTTATTTTCCTTAATTTTTTCCCCAGAAACCTTTTATTTAAGGAATACACCTTCATGCTTTTCATACATACAACTTCAGGAGTATAGTGATTCTTTGCACTGTACCCACCCTTCAACCCAGACTCCCACCCCTCTTCCTCCTCTCTCTCCTATTTCCATTCTTATTTTTTACTAAGATCTGTTTTCAATTAGCTATATACACATATGATTAACTCTACTAAGAGTTCAACAAATTGTATGAAAAAAGAAACTGTTTCTCAACAGTCAGACAAAGGCTGTTCAAAATCATTGCATCTTGAAGTGTTAATTTCACTTCTATGGATTATCTTTTAGGTACTCTATTAGTTATCACAGATCAGAGAGTACATATGGTATTTTTCCTTTTGGGACTAGCTTATTTCACTAAGTATGATATATTCCAGTTTCATCCATTTTGTTGCAAATGACAGGTTTTTTTTTTTTTTAATTTTTACCGCTGTGTAGTATTCTATGATGTATATACCTGTAACTACCTTTATCCAGTCTTCAGTTGATGGGCATTTGGGTTGATTCCATATCTTAGTTATTGAGAATTGAGCTGCAATAAACATAGGGTACAGATAACTTTCATATGTTGATTTCATTTCTCTTGGGTAAATTCCAAGGAGTGGGATGGGTAGGTCATATGGTAGGTCTGTATTCAGATTTCTGAGGTATCTGCATACTGTCTTTCACAGTGGCTATACCAGTTTACATTCCCACCAACAGTGGATTAGGGTACCTTTTCCCCCACATTCTTGGAAACATTTGTTTTTTGTTGATTTCTGTATAAAAGCTATTCTAACAGGGGTAAGGTGAAACCACATAGTGGTTTTGATTTGCATTTCTCTGATAGCTAGTGATCCTGAGCATTTTTTCAGTGCTTTTTGGCCATTTGGATTTCCTCTTTTGAAAAATGCCCATTTTGGGGCTGGCTGTGGCGCAGCAGGTTAAAGCCCTGGCCTGAAGCGCCGGCATCCCGTATGGGCGCCGATTCTAGTCCCAGCTGCTCTTCTGATCCAGCTCTCTGCTATGGCCTGGGAAAGCAGTAAAAGATGGCCTAAGTCCTTGGGCCCTTGCACCCACGTGGGAGACCTGGAGGAAGCTCCTGGCTCCTTTCTTTGAATCGGTGCAGCTCCAGCTGTTGCGGCCATCTGGGGAGTGAACCAGTGGATGGAAGACCTCTCTCTGTGTCTCTACCTGTCGCTCCCCCTCTTCGTGGAGGAGCAACACTAAACCCTGCCTAGGCTTCATATCCGAGTCACGGCACCATTATGTCGCTCCCCGTCTTCGTGGAGGAAGGACACAGGACCCTGCGCTGTTCTTTTTGTCTGCTCGGCCCTCCCCGGGTTTGCTGCTGGTTCTTCCCGGGTTGGCTACCATCCCTTCCACCTCCGTGGAAGGGCGGTTCCCCCTAGCCACTTTCCCCACTTCCGCAGGGGAGTGGCACACCGCCGGCCGGCTCTCTCGGGGGCTGCACAGGTGTTCCTTCAGATAGATGTTCCCCTTAGATGTTCCCGGTGCATGTTGTCTCTCTCCTCCTTTATAGTCCTCTTCCACCAATCCCAACTCTGCTACCCACACGCCGAGTACGCTGCTCTCCTCCAATCAGGAGCAGCTCCTGCAGCTTGTCAAGTTGGTGAGAGGCAGCTGGGTAGAAGCTGTTTGCTCCTCTCCCAGCGCCATATTGTGGGAGAGCAGATGTATAGAATAAGTCTTAATTCCAGTAACTTAGTCTAGTCCGAGTTGCTCCCAGTTGCTCCCCACATCTACCCCTCTTTGTAACTCTATCTTTCAAATAAATAAAATAAATCTTAAAAAAAAAAGACAAAAAAAGAAAAATGCCCATTTAAGTCCTTTGCCATTTCTTAACTGGGTTGTTTGTTTTGTTGTTGAATTTCTTCAGCTCTTTATATATTCTGGTTGTTAATCCTTTATCAGTTGCATAATTCACAAATAATGTCTCCCATTCTGTCAGTTGCCTTTTCACTTTGCTAAATGTTTCTTTGTGGTACAGAAGCTTCTCAATTTGATGTAATCCCATTTGTGAGTTTTGGCTTTGATTGCTTGTTCCTCTGGGGTCTTTTCCAAGAATTCTTTGCCTATGCTAATGTCTTGCAGGGTTTCCCCAATGTTGTCTAATAATTTGATGGTATTGGGTTATAGATTTAGGTCTTTTTAATCCATTTTGAGTGGATTTTTGTGTAAGGTATAAGGTAGGAGTCTTGCTTCATACTTCTTGCATGTGGAGATCCAGTTTTCCTAGCATCATTTGTTGAAGAGATTGTTCTTGCTCCAGGGATTGATTTTCGCTCCTTTGTCAAAGATAAATTGGTTGTAGATGTGCGGGTTGATTTCTGGCGTTTCTATTTTTTTCCATTATTCTGTCTATCTGTTTTTGTGTCAGTACCAGGCTGTTTTGATTATTGCTGCCCTGTAGTATGTCTTGAAATCTGGTATGATAATGCCTTTGGCTTTATTTTTGTTGTACAAGATTGCCTTAGCTATTTGGAGTCTCATGCGTTTCCATATGAATTTCAGCATCATTTTTTCTATATCTGAGAAGAATGTCCTTAGTATTTTGATTAGTATCACATTGAATCTGTCAATTGCTTATGGTAGTATGGATATTTTGATGATATTAATTCTTTGGCCCATGAACGTGGATGATGTTTCCTCTGTGTGTCTTTTTGACTACAATGTGTGGTGATAAAGATCTTTTCTGGTCATGTCTGTTAGGAGTTCTATGTGTTTCCTGTATTTACATGTCCATTTCTTTCTCCAAATTAGGCAAGTTTTCTGTAATTCTTTCACTAGGAATGTCTTATAATCCATTCTCTCTTTCCATGCCTTTAAGAACTCCTAAGACCCGTATGTTGAGTTGCTTGATATTTTCTCAAATCTCCGACACTCTTTTTTAGTTTTTTTTTAATTTCTTCTTTTGTTTTGATCTGACTATAAAATTTCCAGAGATTTTTCTTCTAACTTGGGTATTCTTTCTTCTGCCTCATTGAGTTTTTTGTTAAGGCTTTCCACCACATTTTTAAAATTTGTTCTATTGAATTCTTCATTTCTAATAATTTGTTTTGATTTCTCCTTAAAGTCTTAATTTCATGGGAACATTTTTCATTCATGTCATGTATGGATTTCTTTCTGATTACTTCTAAGTGATCCTACAATCAATTTCTTGCATTCTTTTTCTAGCATTTCTTCAACTTCTTCATGTTCACATTCTAGTATTGCAGTGTTCTGTTTTTTGGGAGCATGATGTTGTCTTCCTTATTCTTGTTTCTTGAATTGCTGCATTTATTATTAGGTATTTGTGGAAATACTTTTTTTTCCCCCTTTGATGGCTTTTATCTTTGGACTATGCCTCTGTGCCTTAGTGGAGTGTCCATTCTTTCAGTGAATACCCGGAGGCATGTGCTGGGTATGGTCAGGGAGATCTGTTCAGTGCTCCAGGGAGAATGGAGTGTCTGAGGTGACACCCAAGTTGGGTGTAGTATAAATCTACTTTTATTTTTTAATCAGAGGGGAAGTTTGTTCTGGTCGGTTGGTATAGTCTCACGCTCATCTGCTCTCCTCAAAGGAGACCAGTGCCTGGGGGTTAGCCCCTATGGGTAAAGTGTTCATCTGTGCTGTCACAAGAACCACACAAAGATCTGCGCAGTCCTCGGTCTGAGCATGGATCCCATATCAGTGACCCTCACCAGGGTATCAGGGAGCCCTGTGTGTGTGGAACCATCACAGTGATTGCTCAAAGTCCCAGCCACACCCTGTGCCCTCCCACACAGCCACAGTGTTTTCACAGTCCCAGCACACAAGCCTCCCATAGCCATGAGCACCCAGCCCCCATCAGTTCTCCCAGCCAGACTCAGGCATCTCCTCTTGCTGGTTGCTGGGGGTGCTGACACGAGTTGGTGCAGCTCTTACATATGTCCAGAATGGCGTCCGCCTTCTCTCTGCTAGATACAGGATGCCAGTGCTGGGTGATCGGGGAGGAAGAAACATCTCTCCTTTTTTTACCTTTAGGTTAGCAGGTATACTGTCCCCCACAGGGCTGCAAGCCAGACTCCCGCAAAACTCTTTCCACAGCTTTATTGCCAAAGATTTGGGCTGCCACACTCTGGTCTCAGCTCACTCCAAAGCTGGTGCTGAGGCTCTCAGCTGCTTGGGTCCTAAGTTGTGTGTGTCTACACCATCCAGGTCCACAATGTTCTCTGATTTGTGTGGAGTTTCCTCTGGAGTTTTCTCCCTAACTCTTCTCTAAGATTACATTCTCACCACTTTTCTTAAACTGTCTTCCCCTAGACTAGAGCAGTAAGCTCTCTCCCTAATCTGCAATCTTGGAAACTCTCTGGGTCTTACTTTCTTGCCCAGCATTATCTCAATCTCTGTGTTGCCTCTCATTCTGCTCCCAGCTGTAACTGACTGCCTGGTACGATGAAGAGCAAGGGCTCTTCATCAAAGGCAAGGGTTTTTGTTTACTCAGAACCTTGGGTATGATACACAGCAGTAGCCAGAAAGTGTCTGTGAGGGAACAGAGCCAGTATTTACCTTTTTACTCTTTCTGTTATCTCATGAGTGTAAGGATTCTGTTGATTTAACTGAGCAGTGATTATGAATACAGATTTTGAAACAGACTGCCTGGGTTCAGTCTTGGTTCATATTGTTACTGTTAGCACTACAGTCTTGGGCAGTTATCTAACTTCTCTACCTCACTTTATGTATCTGTAAAATAAAGATAATAATGTATCAGTAGTACAGTATGGCTTTGAGGCTCTCTCTCACTGTGCTTTTCAAATGAGTACAAATCAATAATCATTAAATGGATAAATATATTAAGGCACCAAGAGCAGTGTCAGACACATGACAAATGCTATATAAATAGCTTTAACAAAAGTCAGTCCTCTTTCTGTTCTCACTGTCTCTGCCTTCAGTCCTCGTCATCACCTTTACCTGGATTATAATACCAGTCTTCCTGCTGATCTTGCCACCAGTCTTGGTTCTCTCCAAACTGACCTCCATGCTTTTGACAAAATGAGTGAACTTTCTAAAATACAAGTTGATTATACTTTTACTCTGCTTACAAATAATCTCTGGTTCTCTAAGCAGATGAATTTGGTGAATCCTGAGATACAAACTCCCAACCTCTTTGTCCAGCCTTATCCCTCATTTTTTTCCCTCCAGCCTTATCCCCATTTTCCCCCTGATAACCATAGTACCATGGCCTATGTAGATATTCAGTTTCTTGAATACATTATTTTATTTTTTTTTAAGATTTCATTTATTTATTTGACAGGTAGAGTTACAGACAGTGAGAGGGAGAGACAGAAGAGTAAGGTCTTCCTTCCGTTGATTCACTCCCCAAATGGCTGCAACGGCTGGAGCTGCGCTGATCTGAAGCCAGGAGCCAGGAGCTTCTTCCTGGTCTCCCACGTGGGTGCAGGGGCCCAAGGACTTGGGCCATCTTCTACTGCTTTCCCAGGCCACAGCAGAGAGCTGGATTGGAAGAGGGGCAGCCAGGAATAGAACCGGCACCCATATGGTATGCTGGCGCCACAGGCGGAGGATTAAACTACTGCGCCATGGAGCTGGCCCCCACATTATGTTTTTTATGACTTTGTTTCTTGCTTATGTCATTCTTCTGTCTGGCATCTTAATTATATTTTTTATTTCTTTTTATTCATCAAAATATCACATCTTACCATTTATTCACTTGATGTGTCTAGCTTCGTTGCTACATTATGAGCTCTCTAAGGGGAGGAATTATGGATTAGATATGGTAGTCAGCTATGATGTAAAGAAATTGAGAGGGTTGGGGATTGTGGTATGGTGGTCTTGGGATAGTACATCTCATGTCAGAGTGCTGGTTTGAGTCCTGGCTACCCTGTGCTTCCAATCCAGCTTCCTGCTGGTCTGCCTAGGGGGCAACGGATGATGGCCTGAGTGCCATGGTCCCTGCCACCCATGTGGGATATGAGGAACCAGGGGGTTCCTGGTTTCTGGTTTCTACCTGGTCTAGGCCAGGCTGCTATGGGCATTCGGGGAATGGATCAGTGGAAAGTGGATCTCTTTTGTGTGTTTCCTCCTCTCTTTCTGTCACTATGCCTTTCAGATAAAATATTTAAAAAACAAAAAAAGAAATTTAGGAACTCATCCAAATTTACACTTATCCAGAGTGATTAGTTCATAGACTTTTTTTAAAATTCAGTATTGAAAGTTCAAAATCTTTATGTTTGTCTTTTGAAACCATTAAAACAACTCTTAAAATTGCAAGTGGAGGTTGTTGTAAGGAAGGGGAAGGAGAGATTTATCAACATCTCTGAGAAAGAGGCTGTGATTAGAAATAGATTTATTTGTTTGAAAGAGTTAGAGGGAGAGGGACAAATGGAGAGATCTTGCATCCTTTGGTTCACTGACCAAATGGATGCAACAGCTGCCCAGGAGACAGGAGCTTCTTCCAGGTTGCCCATGTGAGTACAGGGGCCCAAACACTTCAGCCATCCTCTGCTGCTTTCCCAAGCTGTTAGCAGGGAGCTGGATCAGAAGTGGAGCATTCAGGACTGGAACTGGCACCCATCTGGGATGCTGGCATCAAAGGTGGCTGTTTAACCTGCCATGCCAGAACACCAGCCATGGAAATAGTGTATTCTGAAGTTAACATTGCCTTGATACTTTTTACAAAACCATGCGCAATTGAATGCAAAATATCAAATTAAAGGATAGAATGAGATGTTTTTCACTTCTCATTAGAGAACATAAAAAGTCAGAAGTAGTGGAAAGTTTTTGACACCAGCAGAAACTGTACCATATGGTTTCTTATACTTTTTTTTTTTTTTAAATATTTGTTTAGTTATTTGAAAGTTGGAGTTACACAGAGAGAGAAGGAGAGGCAGAGAGAGAGAGGTCTTCCATCTGCTGGTTCACGCCTCTAAATGGCTGCAAAGGCCGGAGCTGTGTTGATCCTAAGCCAGGAGCTTCCTCTGAGTCTCCCACAGGTGCAGGTGGCTAAGGACTTGGGCCATCTTCTACTACTGTCTCAGGCTACTGCAGAGAGCTAGATCGGAAGTGGAGCAGCCGGGACTTGAACTGGTGCCCATATGGGATACCGGCACTGCAGATGGCAGCTTTACTCGCTACGCCACAGCACCGGCCTCTAGTTTCTTGTACTTAATAACAGATTGTGAACTGTTAAAAGAAGATATTCCCAGGTCTTTTTCACCACCTGCAGTTTTTAAAGAGGATCCTTGAACTTTTCTTTTTTTAAACTTTTATAACCTTCCTTTAAATTCTGTTATGTTTTTCAACTTCTTTTTTTGATGGTACTTTTAAGTAGTAAAAATTGTTTATGTCTCTAATTTTCAGTATGGAGAGTACAGTAATACAGTATCCTTTATGTAAAACAGACATTTGTCCTGATTCGTAATGATGCTAAATATAAATTATTTCTAATAAAAATCTACAGATAATTCTTAAAATGAAAAATGTGTTGATAACTGTCACAAGCTTGAGATAGGACCTTGATCTTTGTTCTAAATAAGTTATGATTTTAACATTACCATTCACAGGTGGAAAAAGAATAACAGTGGAAATAAAATCACCCATCCTGTTTCTGGGAAACACATCTTACAGTTTGTTGCAATAAAAAGGAAAGACTGTGGAGAATGGGCAATCCCAGGGGTGAGTATTAAACTTGATGTTTTAAGTTCTTTTACCTATGTTATTTACTTAATGCTTGGTTATTGTGTATGGATGTTTTCTCCTCCACTTGTCCTTCTTTCTTCCCTACTATTACAGAATTCTTTTGTTTTTCATTGCTACAGTGAAATGTCATTGTCAACAGGTTTAGGATCATACAAGGCTGTTAGAATTTGGGTCTAATTTTTTTTTTTTTTTTTTGACAAGCAGAGTTAGACAGTGAGAGAGAGAGAGACAGAGAGGTCCTTCTGCTGGTTCACCCCCCAAATGGCTGGTATGGCCGGCGCATAGCGCCAATCTGAAGCCAGGAGCCAGGTGCTTCTCCTGGTCTCCCATGCAGGTGCAGGGCCCAAAGACCTGGGCCGTCCTCCACTGTCTTCCTGGGCCATGGCAGAGAGCTGGACTGGAAGAGGAACAACCGGGACAGAATCTAGCGCCCCAGCCAGGACTAGAACCTGTAGTACCAGCGCCACAGGTGGAGGATTAGCTTAGTGAGCCATGGCGCCAGCCATGGGTCTAATTTTTATACTTTTTGGAAAAAAGATGGATGTTGGAGTTAGATCAAGGCTTGTGTTCTGGCCCTTCCCCTGGGATCTGGATGACACTGAGTTCCAGCCATCCTCTTTCAAATAAGCAAAATCTCATCTACCTCACAGGATTCCTAGAGATAGCATGTGAACACCTTATTCTTGTTAGGTCTTTTTTTTTTTTTTTTTTTTTTTTTTTTTTTTTGACAGGCAGAGTTAGTGAGAGAGAGACAGAGAGAAAGGTCTTCCTTCCGTTGGTTTACCCCCAAAATGGCCACTACGGCTGGCGCACTGTGCTGATCTGAAGCCAGGAGCCAGGTGCTTCTCCTGGTCTCCCATGTGGGTGCAGGGCCCAAGCACTTGGGCCATCCTCCACTGCCTTCCTGGGCCACAGCAGAGAGCTGCACTGGCAGAGGGGCAACCGGGACAGAATCCGGCGCCCCGACCGGGACTAGAACCCGGTGTGCCGGCACCACAGGTGGAGGATTAGCCAAGTGAGCAGTGGCGCCGGCCTCGTGTTAGGTCTTATCTTAGAATTCAATCCTCATTGCAAGCCCAGAGTAATATTTTAAGCTTTTTTTGTTGTTCTTGAATTCTGGTAACTTTAGACATAATAAAATGTCTAAAATTACTGCTCTACAGTTTTGAAATTTTTCATAGTATCATCAAGAAAAATGTACTTCTCTTGATTTGTAGTTTGAATATATGCCAGCATTATATTTGAAGTGTCCTTTTAACGTGTGTGTATATGTGGTTGAGATCTGTGTGTATAGATGATTTTTTATTTTAATTTGAGAGGTAGAGACTAGTGAGAGTGCTTCCATCTGCTGGTTGACTTCCAGATTGCTGCTGTAGCTGGGACTGTGCTGGGATCAGTGCCAGGAACAGTTCAAGTCTCTCACGTGGGTAGCAGGAACACAGTTATTTGAAGCATCATTGCTGCCTCCCAAGGTCTGCATTAGCAGAAGATAGAGTCAGATGCTGGGATTGAGCCCAGGTACTCTGATATGGGACAAGAGCATTTTAACCTATGTCTTAACTACTAGGTTAAAATCTTGGAGCTTGAGGATTTTATATTTTATGCTTTATTATGAAATAGTGATAGTTTGATGGGAGGATGACTCTTTATAAATACCCTGCTATCTGTAAGATTTTTTTTCCTTGTAAGAAGAAAATGGACTAGAGTTAGCTTGGGCTAATTATTATGCACTAAATAATCAAATTTCACTTGTGCTAAATGCATTTCGGAAATAATGATTTCTTCATAGAATATAATATATTTTTTTATTTGACAGGTAGAGTTATAGACAGTGAGAGACGGAGAGAAAGGTCCTCCTTCCGCTGGTTCACTCCCCAAATGGCCACTATGGCAGGCGCTGCGCCAATCCAAAGCCAGGAGCCAGGTGCCCCCTGCTGGTCTCCCACATGGGTGTATAGAATATAATATTTTTATTGTCATTATAAATTCTGATCAGAGAGCTGCTTTCTGCACCATTCTTGAGAATTATTAATCTAATCAATATATTGATGTATCTTCTTTTTGTCAGTTAATATGATAGATACAGAGTGTACAACAGAGCAGTATAAACAAAAATCCATGTTTTGGTATTCATATTCCAATGGGAGAGACAGATAATTTAAGGTGAATATATTAAATAGGTTGTATGTTTGAAGGGGATAAATATTAAAAATACTAGAGGTAGGTAAGAGACCTATTTAGGAAGTATTTAAAGACTCACAATTTTTAGATAGGATAGTTAAGAGAAGGCCTCCATGAGGAGTTGACATTTGAATATAAATCTGAAGGAAGTGAATGAATGAACCATGTGGATACCTTCGGAAAAGTGTTGTGGATAAAGGTGACAGCAGCTGCAGAGGCCCACAGGTAGGAGCATGGCATGTTCTGGGAATGTTGAAGATGTCTGTGTGGATGGGATGGAATGAACAATGGGAGAAGAATTGATTTACTTTGTTCTTTGTTGCCTCCAGGCCTTCTTTTTCTAGTTTCAACTTGGAAAGTACATGGAAATGAGTTTGATTGGCTCACTTTTCCACCCTGGACCCATCACTGTGGCCAGTTGTATGATGTATTATTATTGGCTGCTTCTACTAGAAATAAGTGATTTGGAGAAGAAAATATCACAGAGAAATAAGGATTACTATTATGGGCAGATAGAATAACTGAAGCACTCAATAAGTATTGGTTTAATGAATCAAAACTTTTTACTTTTTAAAAAATCTGACTCTTAGGGCATGGTGGACCCAGGAGAGAAGATTAGTGCTGCACTGAAAAGAGAATTTGGTGAGGAAGCTCTCAACTCCTTACAGAAATCCAGTGCTGAAAAGATAGAAATAGAGAAACAGTTGCACAGACTCTTCAGCCAGGATCATCTGGTGGTAAGAAATGGTGGTTCCTAGAAGGAATTCAGTCCTATGGATTATTGAAAATGACTTCCCAGTTCGCCAGGAAATCTGATACTTCCTTCCCTAAATAAGGTGGAATTCCATAATCACAAAAGCAACTTAAATTATAGATCTTTATGTAAATAGATTTTATTTATTTATTTATTTATTTATTTATTTATTTATTTTGACAGGCAGAGTGGACAGTGAGAGAGAGAGACAGAGACAAAGGTCTTCCTTTGCCGTTGGTTCACCCTGGTTCACCCTCCTCCAATGGCTGCCGCGGCCGGCACACCGCGCTGATCCGATGGCAGGAGCCAGGTACTTATCCTGGTATCCCATGGGGTGCAGGGCCCAAGCACTTGGGCCATCCTCTACTGCACTCCCTGGCCACAGCAGAGAGCTGGCCTGGAAGAGGGGCAACCAGGACAGAATCCAGCGCCCCGACCAGGACTAGAACCCGGTGTGCCGGTGCCGCAAGGCAGAGGATTAGCCTAGTGAGCTGCAGCGCCGGCCAAATAGATTTCAATTTAAAATTTTATAGCCCAACTTTAGGTCAATTATATCTTTACTTTTTTCACTTAGTTTTTCTTCAGACTAGATGTGAATTACTGTGATAAACAAGGTACTTCCTGAGTGCTAGCAAACAGAAAACCAGTTTTTAGCAGAGAAGTGAGTTCAGCTCTTCTTGAACAACTATATACTTTCCCTCCCTTCCCTCTCTTGCCCTCCACTCCCCTCCCCTTTTTTTTAGATCTGTTTGTTTATTTGAAAGGCGGAGTTACGGAGAGGGAGAGGCAGAGAGAGAAGTTGTCTATCCACTGGTTCACTCCTCAGATGGCCTCAATGGCCAGGCCTAGACCAGGCTGAAACCAGGAGCTAGGAGCTTCTGCTGCTTTCCCAGGCACATTAGTAGAAAGCTGAATCAGAAGTGGAGTAGTCTGTACTCAAACCAGTGCCCATATGGGATGTTGGTGTTGCAGGTGGTGGTGGCTTTACCTGCTATGCCACAGCACTGGCCCCACGTTTTAAATTATGTGATACAGAATTTTTCTGGTTGATAACCATTTAACTCTGGCAACTTTTTTTTTATCTATACACTCAGTGGTGTTTAACAAAAGAAACAATTTGTAATGTGCACTAATAATAAGGAAATGAATAGGGGCTGGTGCTGTTTCATAGTGGGTAAAGCTGTTGCCTGTGGTGCCGGCATCTCATATGGATGCCAGTTTGTGTCCCAGCTGTTGCACTTTTTCTTTTTTTTAAAGATTTATCTATTGAGAGGCAGAATTACAGACAGAAAGAGAGGGAGAGACAGAGAGAAAGGTCTTCCATATGCTGGTTCACTCCACAAATGGCTAGATCCAAAGCCAGGAGCCAGGAGCTTCTTCTGGGTCTCCCATATGGGTGCAGGGGGCCAAGGACTTGGGCTATCTTCTATTGCTCTCCCAGGCCATTGTTGTACCTGAGCAAGTACAAACAGAGGAGCAACACACACTGATAAAACTTGATATTGCCGACCATAGAGAACAGGCTCATGCCCTAAAGAACTCTTTTTTTTTTTGACAGGCAAAGTGGACAGTGAGAGAGAGAGAGACAGAGAGAAAGGTCTTCTTTTTCTGTTGGTTCACCCTCCAATGGCTTCTGCGGCCGGCGCGCAGCGCCAATCTGAAGCCAGGAGCCAGGTGCTTCTGGTCTCCCATGCGGGCACAGGGCCCAAGAACCTGGGCCATCCTCCACTGCACTCCCTGGCCACAGCAGAGAGCTGGACTGGAAGAGGAGCAGCCGGGACAGAACCAGTGCCCCAAACGGGACTAGAACCCGGAGTACCGGCGCTGCAGGTGGAAGTTTAGTCTAGTGAGCCCAGGCCCCGGCCCCTAAAGAACTCTTGACCCTGAAGTCCAAAGCTCAGCTAGTTGGTTTCCTGCCACCCATTGAGAGACCTGGATTGAATTCCTGGCTCCTAGTTTTGCCTTGGCCTATCTCTGGCGTTTGTGGACATTTGAGGAGTGAACTAGCAAATGAGAGATCTTCATCTGTCTGTCTTTCTCTCTCTTTCTCACTGCCTTTCAAATAAACAATTAAAAAAAACTTTTTTTGGGTAAAAAACATAATGTCATCTTAAATGTTTTTAAGTATACGATATTATTAGATATGTTTATATTATTGTATAACAAAGTGTTTACATTTCTGAATCTAGTGGACTTGAATCTGCTCATTCCTGTTTTAACCTTAGAATTTTTCTTTTTTTTAAATCTGTTTCCTTTAAAAATAGATATATAAGGGATATGTAGATGATCCCCGGAACACTGATAACGCATGGGTGGAGACAGAAGCTGTGAACTACCATGATGAAACAGGTAATTTTATACTTGTATTTATTGAAGTGACTGGCATTGGAGGATCAATATCAGCCAAGCATTCTCTTGGGGCATGCTTACATCTGCACAGTTTTAGCATCTTAAGCCAATGTACTACTGATTGTAGGATTGTATTTATGTAAAAGTTAAATTGTTGATATTCAAAGGATATATAGAGAAAAACCTCAAAGGTATTATCACCATTTCTTTAATCTGTTGGTAGCATATGAATTTAAGGTTGTGTTTACGGGCTAAAATTGTATTGTTGTTATTTTTATAGTATGATTTCACTTATTTTTATTTAAAGACTTATTTACATATTTGAAAGAGTTACAGATAGAGAGGTAGAAAGAGAGAAAGAGATCCTTTGTCTGCTGGTTCACTCCCCAGAAGTCTGCAATGGCCAGGCCAGATCCAGGAGCCAGGAACTTCATCCAGGTCTCTCACTTGTGTGGCAGGGACCCAAGTACTTGGCCTGTCTTCTGCTGCTTTTCCCCAGGCCGTTAGCAGGGAGCTGGATCGCAAGTGGAGCAGAAGGACGTGACCCAGCAGCCACAAGGGATACCGGTGTTGCAGGCAGCAGCTTTACCTGCCATGCCGCAATGCCAGCTCAGTTTCATTTATTGCAAACATAAACAGAAGTAACTGGGGATGTGAATGGAAAGTATGGCAGTGATAAAGTAAATGGGATTTATATCTAACATACTGTTTGAAATATTTTTATGATATACATGCATTATTAAAGCACAAAGCAGTACCAAAATATTTGGTGCTAAGAAATGTATACTTTTTCAGATTTTAAAACTTTTTTGGGGGGAGTCAAATCCCTTACTACAAAAAGAAAGGGGACACTCGGCTCTCCCCAACAAGCCGCTCCCGGGCCACCAAGGCTTGCGCTGGCCCCGGCGCCCCATGGCGGTGGCAAGCGCATGGGAGCCACACGAACAAGCGGACAGGGGCACACTTCTCCCGCACAATGGGCTCCACGGGAAAGCGGGGGTGGGTGGGTGGGTGGGTGGGATCGACTCGGGCACCTTCCTCTCTGGCCTTCGGTGCCCGGCATTGCTTTAAGCAGCTTTGCTCTCCCTGGACCAGCGCATGGAAGTCGCGGTTGTAGGAACCTAAGTGGATCTAGGGTGTGGCGGTATCTGTCACTTCCCACATCTCTGGTACCACTCCATTCACTGCTGGGCCGATGAGGCTTGTCCGTGAAAGTACTCCTTGCCCGAGTACATGTCAGCTTGGAGCAAACTCTGATCTCTGGATCACGTGGCAGTTGCCCTTTAACCTATGGATCCCTTTATCCACATTGATTTCTTTCTGCCACTGCTGCTGCTACTGGTTCACACAGCCCCATCAGCAATGGGGAGGAAACAGGAGACAAGAACCAGTTCCTGCTCCAAACAGAAAGGAAAGGTCTCCATCTGGAGGCTCCCCACGTCCCTGATTTAGTGAAAGGGACAGGAACATACATAAGAACTAAGGGCAGGACTAATAAAAAAAAAAGAGAGAGAGAAAATCTAATCTTTAAAGATTGGGATCTTTAAACATTGAATATAAGTATGTCCCTTGAAATATAACATTTTGTTAATAAATTAGATGACAGTTTAAATATTTGTTTCTGTCTGTAGCATAATGACGTGAGGGCCCTGTCAGTGAACTGAATGTTCTACTCATGGCTCTTCAGAGCTGTGTGACCTTGTGCAAATCACTTGTCCTCTTGGAGTCAGTTTTTTTTCACTTGTAAAATGGGCTAAAAATAGATGATCAATATTCGCTGCATTTTTTTAGAAAAAAATTATTTGAAAGTCAGAGTTGGAGGGAGAGAAGGTGAGACAAAGAGATCTTCTATGTTTTGGCTCACCCCCAAGATGACTACAATGGCCGGGATTGAGCCAAACCAAAGCCAGGAAACTTCTGGGTCTCCCATGTGGGTGCAGGGGCCCAAGCACTTGGCCATCTGTTACTGCTTTTCTCACACCATTATCAGGGAGCTGGATTGTAAGTGGGGCAGCTGAGACTTGAACTGCCACACAAATGGGATGCTTGTGTTGTAGGTGGTAGCTTTACTCACTGTGCTACAATCCATCCCCATTCTCTACTTTTTCTTGTTGAGCCTGGGGTAACTCCCAGTGCTATTTCCATTTGTTCTATACAACTATTATAATCAAGAGAGTAAAAAAATTATTCTTGTGGTATTGAGAATTCTGAAGAAATACTCAAATGCAGCTTAGAAGAAGGTCTGTACAACTTAAGTTCAGATAAATTTATTAACTTTATTTTTGGGGTTAAAAACAATGACTAAAAAAAAAACAATGACTAATTCTTCAGATTGATTATACTTGTATAGGTTATGGGTTCATTATTTTCATTCTCCCTTTTTCTCTTTAAATTTTAAAATAAATGTCCTAATAATTCCCAAATTTCTGTCATATCTAAGTTTGGTTCTAAGGCTTACTTTGTCTCTTTAGGCTATTTTGGCCTTTTAGCATGCCTTCTAGTGTTTTTTTTTTTTTTTTAAAGATTTATTTATTATTTATTTGAAAGTCAGAGTTACACAGAGAGAGAAGGAGAGGCAGAGAGAGAGAGAGAGGTCTTCCATCTGCTGGTTCATTCTCCAGTTGGCCACACGGCCGGAGCTGGGCTGATCTGAAACCGGGAGCCAGGAGCTTCCTTCGGGTCTCCCACGTGGGTACAGGGGCCCAAGGACGTGGGCCATCTTCTACTGCTTTCCCAGGCCCTAGCAGAGAGCTGGACTGGAAGTGGAGCAGCTGGGACTTGAACTGGCACCCATATGGGATGCCGGCACTGCAGGCAGTGGCTTTACCTGCTACATTACAGTGCTGGCCCCTTCTGGTGTTTTTTGAAAGCTAGGCATGAATTGAGGGAACTCACAGGAAAAGTCTGAGGTTGTCTTTTAGTGAGCCTCTGCTCCTGTGCTGTCACCTTCGCAACTGCTTCTCAGCTTCCACTCCTCCTGCTTCCATCCTTAAGTGACACAGGAAGGCAGACAGAGCTGGAATTGGGTATTTTCCTTTTCTTAGTTTGCTTAGGTCTTGGTAAAGTACTTTTTCCTGAAGGCAGTAGGCTGTGGACATATTTCAAAAATGGTTGCTTTTCCCCTATCCATGGTGGAAGCGAGAGGGAATTTTTCTCCAGTCTTTGCCCAGAAAACCTGGTAGCATTCCTACAAGCAAAAGTCACAGATATGTTCTTCCACCCCAGCGCTAAGACTGGGCTTCCAGGATATGTTATCTCTCATGCTAGTTCACACATTAGTTGCCAGCAATTAGTCAGTTATCCTTTAAGTTTTTCAACAGTGTTGCTGGCTTCAGTGGTGGGCTTCTGTTACTGGTGAATTGTGATTGCCCGTTATTTTCCTGTCTCTCCAGTTTTTGGGGTGTCAGAGTACACTGTGACTTCAGTTCTTTTATGCATCTAAGAAGAGTGGTTGATTTTCATTTTGTTCAGCTTTTTTTCTTGTGATAATGGGAGTGGTAACTTCCAAACTGTTTGCATGTCAGACCATACCTCTTTAAACTATTTAGAAATTTTGTTTTATATAGTTTATTAGGTAACCAGAACTGGAAGTAAAAACCTTACAGATATTATTAGTTCTGATAAAGAACATGATGTTAGAGGAAGCTTTTCTTTAGATAATAATGAGAACTTCAATTTAATTTTTGGACCAAAGTTTACTTTTTTCAAAAAGATTTGTTTATTTGAAAGTTAGGGTTACAGAGAGAGAGGGAGAGACCAAGAGAGAGATCTTCCATTTTCTGGTTCACTTCCCACATGGCCACAACAGCCAGGGTTGGCCCAGGCCAAAGCCATGATCCAGGAGCTTCATCCGGGTCTCTCGTGTGGGTGGTGGGAACCCAGACACTTTGGCCATCCTCCGCTGCTTTTCCTGGGCCATTAAAAGGGAGTTGAATTGAATGTGGAGCAGCTGGGACATGAACTGGAGCTCACATGGGATGTGCTGTCACAAAATGCTGGCCCTTAAAGTTAATTCTCGTTCTCTATTGATGGTTGGTTGTTGTAGTTATAATGAGAGTACACAAAGAGGAACCATTTTAGCAGTGACATTTAGAAACTTGTATGCTAAAGGATTAGTTCTTTTTTTTTATTTGACAGGTAGAGTTAAAGTCAGTGAGAGAGACAGAAAGGTCTTCCTTCCATTTGTTCACTCCCCAAATGGCCGTTATGGCTGGCACAGTGCCGATCCGAAGCCAGGAGCCAGGTGCTTCTTCCTGGTCTCCCACGCGGGTGCAGGCACCCAAGCACTTGGGCCATCCTCCACTGCCCTCCCGGGCCACAGCAGAGAGCTGAACTGGAAGAAGAGCAGCCGGGACTAGAACCTGGCACTCATATGGGATGCCACTCTGCAGGTGGAGGATTAACCAAGTGAGCCATAGTGCCGGCCCAAGGATTAGTTCTTTTAAGCAATACCTTTATTATTTTATTGTGATTGTTATAAAAGTAGTTGTAATACATTTTATTAATAGTTATTTAGGAAATTGATGATGTGAAGAAAGAAAATATTAAAAATATTAGTTATGTTATTACTGAAAGATAATTACTGTTAATGTTTTGGTATGTCTTCTTCCAGACTTAATATAGCTTTTTAAAAAAAAATTTTGTTTGTTTTGGTTTAATAAAATGAGCTAAATGGTACATTCTGCTTGCTTGATGTTTTTACTTAAAAATATATCATGGGATGGGTGGTTAAGATACCTCTCATATCAGGGTGCCTGGATTCAATACTTGGGTCAAGCTTCTAACTCCAGTTTCCTGATAATGCAGATCCTGAGAGACAGCAGTAATGGTTCAAGTAATTGGGCTTCTGTCATCCATAAGGGAGACCTGGACTGTGCTCCTGGCTCCCAGCCTTGACCCAGCCTGCTTCCAGGCATTTGGGATATCTCTCCTTCTGTCTCTCTCTCTCTCTCTCTCCCCTCTGTCTACCTTAGGGAAGTAGATCTGTGTATACCGACATGGAATGATGCCCATAAATAAATATATGTATGCATATATATAAATTATGTATGAAGATCATTACTTGTGTATATTTATGACGTTTTTTCTTTTTGAGAGGTAGAAAGAGTGTTTATCAGTAGAATTTTGAACAAATTTATTTGAGAGTCAGAGAAAGAGAGCTCCTGTCCATTGGTTCATTCCTGAAATGCCCACCCACAAGCCTGAAGCTGGCAGTCAGGAGTTCCGTTCAGGCCTCCTGTGCGAATGACTGAGAGCCAACTACCTGAGCCATCACTCCCTGCTCCCCAGCATGTGCATTAGCAGAAAGCAGGAGTAGAGCTAGGACTTGAACCCAGGCACTCTGATATGGGATATAGATGTCTTAACCACTAGACCAAACAAGCCTGGAGCATTTACTTTCTAAAAGCACTTGGTTGGGGCCAGTGCTGTGGCATAGCGGGTAAAGCTGCTTCCTGCAGTTCCACTTCGAATCCCAGCTGCTCTGCTTTCGATCCAGCTCTCTGCTATGGTCTGGGAAAGCAGTACAAGATGGCTGAAGAACTTGGGACCCTGTACCTGTGTAGGAGACCCAGAAGAAGTTCCTGGCTTTAGATTGGCCCAGCTCCTGCTGTTGGGGCCATTTGAGGAATGAACCAGCAGGTGGAAGACCTTTCTCTCTGTTTCTCCCTCTCACTGTAACTATAACTACCTCTCAAATAAATAAAATCTTTTTTTTTTTTTAAAAAGCACTTGGTAAACATTGCCAAATTTTCATATAAAAATGTGCTATTTACATCCTGTATTGTGATGGAGAGCACTTATTTTTAATTTTTTATAATTATAGCTAGAAATATTTTTTTAAAAGATTTATTTTATTTATGTGAAAGAGTTACAGAGAGAGAGGTAGAGCCAGAGAGAGAGAGGTCTTCCATTCTGTTGGTTTACTCCCCAAGTGACTGCAATGGCCAGAGCTGAGATGATTGGAAGCCAGGAGCCAGGAGCTTCTTCCGGGTCTCCCATGTGAGTATAGGAGCCCAAGGACTTGGGCCATCTTCTGCTGCTTTCCCAGGCCATAGCAGAGAGCTGGATCGGAAGTAGACTCAAACCGGCACCCATATGGGATGCCGGTGCTGCAGGCTGGGGTTTTAACCCGCTGAGCCACAACGCCGGCCCCTAGAAATATTTTAATACCTGTATTTACATATAAATATTTTTTGTTGGTTTCTAATTTGTTATCATGTATAGAAAAGTCCACTTACTTTAAAGCTATAAAAGGAGTCACCAGTTATTTGTTCTTTTTTTACATTTAGGTCTGTAACCCTTTTGAGATTTATTTTGGTATAAAATTTCATACTCATAAAATTTTTTAAAGGATAATATTCTTTTTAAAAAGAAACTCTTATTGGTACATCTACATAAAATTTAGGAACTTGGTAGAACTTTGGACATTTTGGAATATTTTAGTTTGTAATTCACTTTGTCACCCAATACAGTGATAATTTAAGATTAATTTTAGTAAAAATACTTGAAGATAACACAATTATGCTGAAAAAAGAAATGAATAAATGAATTTCTTTTCCTTAGTGTTGGTTTTTCTTTGGTAATCAGGTGAGATAATGGACAGTATTACCCTAGAAGCTGGAGATGATGCTGGAAAAGTGAAATGGGTGGACATCAGCGATAAACTGAAGCTTTATGCCAGTCACTCTCAATTCATCAAACTTGTGGCAGAGAAACGAGATGCACACTGGAGTGAGGAGTCTGAAGCTGGCTGTCATGGGTCATAGCTGGTGGCCTATTTGCGTACCAGAGCCCAACCACGGAGCACATACTAAGACGAAGGCACTAGCACAGAACTCAGACCAGGGAACTGCACAAGGTAGCCTGCTTGGCCTATGCACTTTCACAACTTTATTCTGTGAAGAATCCTAATCAGAATAAATTCCATTTCAGCCATACCTGCTGCTTTCCCTGTGCTTCCTGTTTGCTGTTCTTTCTCCCACTGCTCTGAGGCCTAAAATATTCCCATCACATCAATCTCCTATAGGAGCAGTACCACCACTGAATGTGTAATTTAGTGTCAGTCTGGTTTTTCTTTAAATTATTTGTTTCATATTTTGCTTTGCATGACCTTATACTGAAATTCATTTCAAAAGCAAAAACTTGCTATATGCTTGCCCATAATCATCAGTTTTATGAAAAATTTCAGTTACTCTGAATAAATAAAGGTCAATAAAGGTCAAGATCAACAAACAACAGATCATATTCTCATTTTTAGTAAATCTTAATTTAAAAATATGTCTAAGAAATTCATTGTTAATTCCGTTGATTTCATTCTACTCTACTGTATTTATGAGGTGTTTGTGGGTTAGTGTTTTTTTGTTAGGAAGAAAATGGTAAGGCTTAAAGTTAGTTTTTGAGAGACATGTAGTTACTATAAATCCCAGAGAAAAGGAACCAAGATCACTTGGAAGCCAGACGAGGAGAGAAAACTAACCCTTTGTCTTCTTGGTAGACACACATTGTGGCTAAGGGTATTCATTAGGAAGTTCCATGATACTAATTCTTGTCAGCCTGAAGTAGGGACTGTCATTGTTTCATCTTTATTCCAGTCTGATTATAGATGGGACATATGAAGTAGAGAAAGTTTAGGGAATAGAATCGTGGGAGTCGTCTTCAGATAGTTGAAGCTTGCTACTTTGTAGCTAGAGGACAGAAGTGGGCCTAAGATAAAACAAAAATAGGTTTATTTATTTATTTTAAAATTTAACATAAAAACTTTTTGGTTAATATGCTTGAACTGAAATAAAGGAGGCCTTTTCTACCTTCTTTGTGAATGTAAGTCTTGCTGAGAAACATTGGACTGTGAATTCAGTATGCTTTGAACCTCTCTGGGAGAATTAATAAGGCTTATGTGTGGTATTAATTTTTAAGAAGTCCTTAAAATCTTGGTCCCAAAGGCATAAAATAAGGGACTTATACTTGACAAGCATGGCCTGCTGATCGGGTGTCAGGCCGGATGAACTTCTCCCAGCTTGAGAGTGTCGGCTTCTATGTTTACAGTTTGGCAGGAGAAAATGCTTTTTCCTGACACTGAGTAGAATTCTTCACAACTGAAGCTACTTAGAAAAACTCTTCAGAAAGATTAAGCAATTCTCTGAAAAAGACATTGAAAGTGTGCCTAAAGCACATGGTCTGTGTAAATTGTTGTAAGATTTATTTGAAAGAGTGACAGAGAAGGAAGGAGAGAGAGATTTTCCATCTACTGTTTACTCCCCCAAAGCCACAACAGTCAGATCTGGACAAGGCTGAAGCCAAAAGTCAGGAACTCCATTCTGGTCTCCCAAATCGGTAGCTGGGGTTCAGGTTTTTGAGCCATCCTCCACTATCTTCCTAGGTGCATTAGCAGGAAACTGGCTCGGAAGTGGAACGGTTAGAACTTGAACCAACACTCTAACATGGGATGTTGATGTTGCAAGTGGTTTAACCTGCTGTGCCACAGCACCAGCACCTCTGAACAAATTCTTTGTGCTGTTTTGGAATTTTCACTGGAACATTTAGAAAGTATGAAAAATGATTAAAAACTGCTATCAGCTGTGGATGGAAGCAGATAATCTGATAACTGTAAATATTCAGCACCATCTATAACAGAGGTAAGTCAGATTAAAATGTTAAAGAAATTCCTTAGGGAATATCTGCTATCACTAGGTAATATTCCCTACATATCCATCTTAAGTTTTTGGTATAAGGAATATCTTTTTTCTTTTAGATGCATTTAGTAAAATAAGTAGTAATAATAAATTTACTGAATATTTTTTTAAAAGATTTGTTTATTTATTTGAAAGTCAGAGTTACACAGAGAGAAAAGAAGAGGCAGAGAGAGAGAGGTCTTCCATCCACTGGTTCACTCTCCAGTTGGCCGCAACGGCTGGAGCTGCGCCAATCAATCCGAAGCCAGGAGCCAGGAGCTTCTTTCAGGTCTCCCACACGGGTGCAGGGGCCCAAGGACTTGGGCCATCTTCTACTGCTTTCCCATCCCATAGCAGAGAGCTGGATTGGAAGTGGAGCAGTCAGGACTTGAACCTGGGATGTTAGCACTGCAGGCAGCGGCTTTACCCACTACACCACAGCATCAGCCCCTGAATATTTATATTATATAATTTAATCCTCACAACAGTCCTGTGAAAATTAGGTGGTATTCTCATTTTATAGATAGGAAATTGATAGGTTACCCAAGATTTCATTCACTAAAATAAAATAGAGTAGGGTTTGCCTAATTACAAATCTATTCTCTGTTGTATTGTTGTATTCCCTGCTAAGGACATGAATCTTTTGTGATTTGTTACTTTAAAGTATGCAACTTGGAAGGTTATGTTACATAGGCAATAACTAGTCATGTTATCTGTAGTAATGTAGTTATGCTTTGTGATGTGAAATTTAAGGGCTACACTGATTTGGCTAGCATTTCAAAACTGTTAACATAATTTTGGCCAGTTTTTTATGATAATATCTTTACCTAAGGATAAATGGTTACATTTGGTGTTTGTTTTGCCAGCTGATATTCTTGACCTTTTGGAAGCATTTCAGAGTCAAAATAGAAGTACTTGCTGAGTTTACTTAAGATCACAGTGATCCAAAATGTTAAATATTTGTTAGTGAAGGAGGGAACTTGGATATTCTATTGACTTTTAGAGGCTACTTTTGCATATTAGCTTAAGTTTTCTTGTGCTGAAGACTTCTACTGGGTGGTATTCTAAAATACTGGAGTTCTAATAAATGATTTTGAAAAGATACCACTTGAAGAAAGCATTTGTAATTAAATTGCTCTTGTTTACACTTAGTATCATTATGTTATTAATTTACTGATGTGGGTACAGTCTGAGATGATAAAACTCTTATGATAAAAATATTTAAGATGTATATAATAATAAAGATATTTGGAGATTTAACTAACCTTTATGTAACTTCTGGCATAATACTGTGAGAATTATTTCTGTCAAAATAGACAATACAGGCTACAGTTATTATATGAAGATATTTTCATCATAAATCTATCTTCACACTTCCCATTTTATGGTTATTTCATTGCCAATTCATTAATGTTGGTAGAATTGTGAGTACTTGCAGTAGAAAATAATGTGATTTGGTTATGCTGATAAACAGAATCTTCAACTGTTTTGTTAGCAACATTGAGGTTAATTTCTCTTACTCAGCCTCTGAGATGCCCTGTTGCAAATATTTGAAATTGTAAGAAGGACTAAATACTTACAAAGTACAGTAAAACTTGTTAGAAGGTAAACTGTTGGGTGAAAATCCAATTTCTTTTCCAAATTTAGATTGAAAATATTTAATAACACTGTGTGTTATTTTAATTACATTGATTCAGCTATTTTAAAAAGGAATACCTTTTTAGTGTCTACATTTTTTGAGTATGTTTTTCAAATAAAAGCAAACTTGGGTGATAGCCAAAGTAGAAGTCTCAAAGTGCATAGCCTTTCTACCCAGCAAACTACTGCTTTTGTGCTAAGGGAGGCATTGGCTTGAGATCAGGTCGTATCCAAGTTTGGTAATTTCATAGTAGATTTTTATTATTGTTTACTTTGAATTGTTTATAAGATAAAAATAAAATGAATGTAAATTTTACTGTTTGAAATTTCTTAATATTACATACATTTCTGTCAATTTAAATTTTATGAAATAAAATGGGCATTATGAATAGAATGCTTTTTTAGATCTGCAGAAGTTTTGATCTAAATATCATGGAGGGAATTGAGTTTATGACTCATGAGTTCTAGATCAGTTTGTTTGAGTCTGCTATGTGTTTTTCTAGTTCAGATTTATCCTTACCTTTTCTGGCATTGAGTGTCACTTACTTTTATCAGTATAATCATGGAAATAAAATCTTACCCCCAAAAGGCCCTGAAAATAAAAAAAAAGTATTTACTCAACCCAATAATAAATTTATAGTTCATTACGGTATAAAAAATAGAAGCTTACCCCAAGTTGGTTCAAAATAGAAGTTATTAACTATAAAAGAAGAAAAATCAATGATCAGTACTCCCAATTGGTTTATTTTAAAATTTAATTTAGTACAATGAAAGTTAAAGTATCTTACATATGACAATCTTTGTTTTTATTGAAAATTCCAATTTTATTATTATTTGTATAAGATTTTAAAATGAAGATGCACTATCTTAATTTACATTCACAGAAGTATTTTCTTCTTATAACTGTTTTCCATATATTTTAAAGTTATAACATTTATTTGAATGATTAATAAACCCACTGGGGGTCAGCATTGTGTAGTGGGTAAAGCTACCACTTGCCCCATAGGGGCACTGGTTCATGTCCCAGCTGCTCCACTTCTGGTCCAGCTCCCTGCCAATGGCTTGGAAAAAGCAGTGGAAGATGGCCCAAATGCTTGGGCCCCTCTACTCAGGTGGAAGACCTGGAAGAAGTTCCTGGCTCCTGGCCTTGGCCTGGCCTAGCCATGGCCTTTGACACCATGTGGAGGAGTGAGCCGGTGGATGGAAGATCTCTCTCTGTCCCTCCCTTTTCTCTGTAACTCTTTCAAATAAATAAACATATCTTTAAAAAAAAAAATTACTGGAGTCAGGCATTTTGTGCAGCTGTTAAGACACTGCTTAGGATACCATATTCCATATTGTTCTGGCTGGGTTTGAGTCCTGGTTCTCCTTCTGATTCAACTTCATGCAGTGTGTACCCTGGGAGGCAGCAGGTGATGGACCTAGTGCTTGGGTCCTGGAGAGACCTGGATTGAGTTCCAGACTCTGACTTCAGCCTAGTCCAGTCGTGGCTGTTGTGGGCTATGGTACTTACAGAGCTGTCAGTCTGAGAATGTGTGCAAGAATATTTAAGGTAAGCCCTGTCCCAGCCTTGGCAGTTAGGTAAAAATAATGCCGCTAGATGGTGTTTATTTGTTCTTAGAATGCTTTTCCTGCTCCCTGCCTTCATTAGGACCACTGAAGGAAAAAAAAGGGGGAGGGTCTCATCTTCACGTGGACATGGCCATTCTGTAAGTTCTGTCAGGATCCTTTTCCATGATAGGTTGTAGCCAAAAGTGCTTTAAAAATCTGTGGTAATTCGAATGAGTCAGATGTCTATGAAGTCAGTATTTTCAATGGAAGGGACATTGGAGATAAATTCATACATTTTATCTGAGATCTCAGCTAATTTGAATGTATGGGAGGAAATCTTAAAAAACTCTATGGAAAATGTATACTATTAAAAATCTGTATTTGTGGACTTTTGAGTGAAATGGTGACTAGAAGCTAACTCCCTGAGTGCTGTCCTTGCTGTGAAGACAACCTGCAGCTGGTAGCATGACCTTTCATCACATTTCTAATGGTGAACAAGGAAGTGTTCCCTGTAACTTAGCTAATGGTAACCACTAAACAAACTCTAATGGTGGCCATCCCTAAAGAAGGAGCCAGTTTCAGTTCTTAGGACCATTGTGGAAAGACCAGACCCATTGTCTGCCTCTCCCTGCATATAGGCAGGAAAGTATGGGAATGAGTGTAGGAGTGTACTCTGATTCCTTAATAATCAAGCATTATCTACAGCCAGATGTTCTTCCATTTTCAAAGTGATTGACATCCACATGTAAATCTCTCATTTAACCCTGACTCAGTGCAGGTACCCACCTTGTAAGAAAAGTATGAAACCTGTAAGTAAAGTCACACTTAGGAAACAGCCAGCTTCGGCTTCTATTTCTGCGAACAAATCCTGATTGACTAGTTGAGTACACTTTAATTTCGATTTTACAGCCAGACTTTGATTATCTCAGTCAACCAATGGATTTCAATTTCTTTTTTTACTCAAAAGTAAACATCTTTTATTTAAGTTTTCTGCATTTTGAAGATGTCATACAAATGAGATTAGAATCTAGGCTTTCCATTCATACGCCAGTGTTTTAGTGATGTTTTGATGTAAAGATGAACCTGGCTAATTTTGGAATCAACAGTAAATAATCATTGAAGGTCATTTCCTCAAAAAAAAATTTAGAAATATGCTAGAAGCTTAATGATTTTCCCTTTGGAAATGGGCTAATGATGTTGCTTAAACAGTAGAGTGTAGAAGAGCACTAGCAATTTGCAAAATTCTTAAACTCCTGATTAATTAGGTTCAAAAGCTTCCTGTTTGAATTTTCTGTGACATTTAAACATTCTTCAAGATGGTTGCCTTTAGCCAGTCTGTTGAATAATCCTGAAAAATTTATCTTGGTCACAGAAATGATTAAGGTTTTAACTTTCTGACGTTTTTACAAAATATTCCTGATTCTCAGCTACTATCAGTTCTAAAATGATCCATTTTGTTAATGGTATTTTAAAGAAAAAATCCTAGATTGAATATTTTTCTATTGTGAGATCTTGATTTTAGACTGTGTTTTAGCCAGAGCTGAAATTTTTTGGTGTTAAATTTTGAAACTTTTCAAACATTTTTCCTGTTTTCATAAACTAAGATTGTAACTTAGCTATCAATGAAGGACCTCATAAAAATTGAATTATGTGTAATTCATTAAAAACATCTGTTGAGATTTAGATTTTATAATTTTTTTTTGACAGGCAGAGTTAGACAGTGAGAGAGAGAGACAGAGAGAAAGGTCTTCCTTCCGTTGGTTCATCCCCAAAATGGCTACTACGGCCAGCGCGCTGTGCCGATCTGAAGCCAGGAGCCAGGTGCTTCCTCCTGGTCTCCCATGCAGGTGCAGGGCCCAAGGACTTGGGCCATCCTCCACTGCACTCCTGGGCCATAGCAGAGAGCTGGACTGGAAGAGGAGCAACCAGGACAGAACCAGCGCCCCAACTGGGACTAGAACCTGGAGTACCGGCGCCGCAGGCAGAGGATTAGCCTACTGAGCCATGGCGCTGGCCTAGATTTGATAATTTTTAATGTATTATGTTCATTCTTGTGAAAAAATAATCACATATATTTTGTCTTTTCTAAAGAAATTTACTTTGTGACCCTGAGTCTCCTGACTCTTTTCTATTACTGTGCTAAGTTCTAATCAGTCTGGACCCAGCTTAGCTTCTGAGATCGGATAAGCACACTGGGTGGTGGTACGTGTGGTGGTGAGACTATACTCTCAGTCTCATCAGTGCTAGAAGAAATTTTTTTGTTGATTTATAGTTTGCCTGAAGTGAGTAAATGAATGTGAACTCCTATGCATTGATATGTTTGGCTTTGCATTAACAGCACTGCTTAATTTTGTGTCCAAATGAATTAGACTAATAAAGACAATAATTTTATAGGATATTGAATAATATTTTTACAAACTTTATAAATTAATAGGGCAGAATATATTTACCGCTATAAAATCATTAGGTGTCAGGGCCTAGAATAAACGAAACACAAATAAGAAGATGTAATTCAGCATCTTATCTCTCCTGTAAGTGAAAAGATACTTTTTATAGTGGTTAGCATTTCTAAAATCCCACCAGGATTCATATTCACTTATACTTCATGTGCTCTTCCTCCCCCTACAAACCTGTCTCTGGAGACATAGTCTTTATTTTTCTTTGTGGTCTATAGGTGCGGCAAGGAGTTCATGAAAAATCATTAAACCTATGCTTACTAGGCTGGAAAAAATACTATATTCTGGGATCACTTTATGAATAAAGAAACTTTAATAATGTTATGTCCTGTATTGTAATAGGAGTACCATGTAAACATTTGGAAAATATATTCTCTCCCCCTTTCTTTGGCTTTGTGACTGAAATCAATCTCATGTAATTATCACTAATTCAGTAATACTTGGTCAAAAGTAAAATTTAAACATACTGTTTATACCATGACCAACTTTAAGTCTAGTTTAAAAGCATGTAGAAGAGATTACATTTTTACTTAGAATGTACTTCTCCCCTATTAATAGCTAATGTAAGCATACTATGTTGGAGGTGAAATGGAATTTTAAATCATCTCTTCTCCCTCTTCTGTATTCTAGAAGAAGGGAAGGCTCAAAGGAGTCTAAGATTACTCCAAGTTTATATTGGGCAACTGACTGGGGGCTTGCCTCTCCAGATTACTTGACTTCAAATCAGATGGTTTCTTACTGCTCCCCAGGGTTTATTCACATGATCACTGGAAGTTTAGGTCTTACATGATTCAGCTTTCAAGGTAAATGGGGTTTTTATATTAATCAGTATCAATAACTAATAGTGCTCAAAAGAGAGTATCAATGATTAATTCTTATTTATCAAATCCCTCTCCAAATAAATGTAAAGAAAGTTACAGTTTTTATTTTATATTAATTTAAATACTTTCTTAAGGGAATCTTTAAACATAATTACCTGACTTGGATCATAAGGAAAAGGTAAAGGTATTGGAATCTACAAAAAAAAAAAAAAAAAAAAAAAAGGAGAGTGAATGATGAACAGAAGAAAATGAACATTTTCTTTTGGCTTTTTCTGATTTCTTCATTCATTCACCAGTTATCCATCCACTTGTCCATCCACCCATGTGGCAGGTGTTGTGCAATTCTGTGTCTAACACTAGGGACAGCAATAAAAACACTTTTTAGGGTATAGATAGTCTAGTGAGTTTTATATAATTCTTTGTCTTTCAAGAAGTATGGTTATTTTGTTTGCTCAATCCTTCAGCTCAGGAATCTGTCTTAAGCATCAGTTCTTGTAATTTCAACAGTTTCTCTAAGGTAGAATTTTATTCTTTGCCTGCTTTTAAGAACTATACTGCCACCTGGTGGTAGGAAATTATCACTTCAAGTACTAGTGAACCTTTTTATTGATTTCCACATAGATTATGCAATTTTAGATAGAAGGTATTAATGGTGATTACTAGATTCTAATTATGAATCAAGACTCCAGGATTTTGCATGAGTTTAAAACAAATCTGATTTAATTTCAGCCACCTGAAATTCTTTGGTTCTGGTTGCACCTGGCTGCAACCAGAACCAAAAGATTAACAATTAATTATAAATGCAAGTACTTAAAAATTAAAATGTGTGAAAACATGAAAGGGAAAGAAGGATCCCATCAAGGACTGTAACTAATGACAAATCCCCATGAACCTACTTAAAGTTGAGAGAAGCAATTTGAAATCAAATATAAGAGGAAGTGTTTAATGCATTTAGATATAAAAATGAAGTCATGCAAATCATGTTTGCATTTTAATTAAGAATATTTAAGGAATTAAACAAATGAAGCACGGTGGTATTTTAAAATGAGTGTTCGCTTTTCAAAACATCATTGCACTTAATACATGGCCCTAATCTGTGTTGCAGCCTTGTTTTATGTCATTCTTCCTCCCTGTACTTTTTGGGTTTGTACCCATCCATCAACTTAATGTTCTTCTGCCTAGAATATTCCATTCACTCCTCATCCTTCATGACCTGGTTCAAATACCAATTCCTCTATAAAGTTTTTGACTTACAGCCCGAGCTGGCTTTTTTGTGTATCCAGGAGCACTTACTAGGCTGCTCAGCATTTTTTATTTATGAATTTCTTTTCCTTGACTGATCTGTAAACCCATCTCATGCTTTTTGTTTTTTTTTTTTTCAACATTCATCGTTTATCCTATTATGTAGTAGACATTCAGTAAGTATTAGCTGAATGAATGCAACCTGTCTCTTACCACAAGCATGCTATATATAAAGGGAGTTCTACTGAGTATTCAGTATTGCCTGGCTCTCATTGAAAAAAATTTGTAAGGATCCAGATATTAGGAGAGATTAGAGAGAGTCCACAAGAAGAGCCAGATAATTATGTTGCTTGACCAAAGAACTGGAAAATAACTTTTGAAAGGAAAGAAGTGAGGTTAAGAATTAATTAAGAATGGACATACAAAGAGATTTGTATGCTCTTCATGAAGAGTACCTAGGCTTATCAGTCAACGCAAGTAATTCAACCCAAACAGCGTTTTGAAGAGAAGCACAGAGAGGCTCTGGAAGAGGTTGCAGCGGGTTGGAGGGGACTCGCTGACTCTCCCACCAGCTCTGCAGGGAGCCGAGTGTGAACAGCTGATGCCTGGCGACCTCTTAAACCTCACATTTCTGTATCCAAAGTTGGCAAATTTCTCAGCCATCTTCCAACTAATAACTACCGTCGCAGCTTGAGATTCCTCTCCCTGGTGCTTACCAGAGGCAGTGGTGGCGAGGGAGGCAAGGGGATCTGAGGAAAAAGCGGTGGCACTTGGGGTGGGTAAAAGGTAAATCTCTGTAGAGAGAGACACGATGTTAGACATACAGACGACTGCAAACTTCAAATGAATGCATCATGTGAAAATACAAGTAGACGTTTACCTGTTCACTGGAACTTGTTGAAGCTGGTAAAACAATAGCAACAAGGTAAAGCAGCCTATGACGATCTACTACACATTGAAGGGAGGTTTTATTCTCAATGAGAATAGGTAGTAAGCCGCTGCTGAGCGTTAGCCCCATCAGAGATGGAACTTCACCTCGGAAGTGCAACACAGTTGAATGTGTGACAGGGAAAAGCTGAATATAATTTTGCTCAAAGAATTAGAACACTGAGTTCTTCTTGACTTTAAACTTATATCCAAAGAATACTTTTATTTTACATTTCTTTTTTTAAAATTTTTTAAAATTAAAAAAAAAATTTGACAGGCAGAGTTAGACAGAGAGAGAGAGAGAGAGAGAGAGAGAGAGAGAGAAAGGTCTTCCTTTTTCCATTGGTTCACCCTTCAAATGGCTGCCAGGTGCTTCTTAAGATTAATTATGTGTTTCATGCCTTAAGAAATCTGAAAATCAAGTGTTCTTGGTTTAGTTTTCAGCATGTATGCATTAAACATGAAAGGCATATGGAAGAGTGAATTTATATTCTTTATCCCCAAACACACATTTTGAAATCTCTTTGTGTCCTTTAGAAGCTCCTCTGTTAACAAATATGCAGAGGAGAGAGTTTGTTGCCTAAGTGGTGTCCTTCCTTTTCAGACCGTAATACAGATCCTACTCATGGATCTCATTATATGTCAGAAGTCACAGCTGTAGTCAATTGATGGCAGAGGTCTGCAAAGTGAAGTTAATGGTGTTTGGGGATTACTCTAAGATGCCATCATTGTAAAACACACTATTCATCTATTACCAAAAAGGAGAAGCACTGTTGTTAGACTGGCTCAATACTTTATCACATCATGTTTGTAAGGCACATCTCAATTTCAGAGATGCTTAAGTATGAAAAAAGCATATACTAGAATTAATGGAATATGTAAACTGCAGGAAACAGGAGCATCATAATCTTAAAAGAACAAGTGAATAGAAATTGCCTGAAGCCTTAGACAATTACAACACTATCCACTTGGGCAATAAGGACAGTGGTCTAAAGAAACAATTTTTCTTGTTTGTTTTCCAGGGGCACTAAATATGGATGCTGGTTTTTAAAAATTGAATTTTTAAAACTTTATATGTAGGCCGGCGCTGCAGCTCAATAGGCTAATCCTCCACCTAGCGGCGTCGGCACACCGGGTTCTAGTCCCGGTCGGGGCGCCGGATTCTGTCCTGGTTGCCCCTCTTCCAGGCCAGCTCTCTGCTGTGGCCTGGGAGTGCAGTGGAGGATGGCCTAAGTCCTTGGGCCCTGCACCCCATGGGAGACCAGGAGAAGCACCTGGCTCCTGGCTTCGGATCAACGTGGTGCGCCGGCCGCAGCGCGCCGGCCGCGGCGGCCATTGGAGGGTGAACCAACGGCAAAGGAAGACCTTTGTCTCTGTCTCTCTCACTGTCCACTCTGCCTGTTAAAAAAAAACAAAACAAAACAAAACAAAAACAACACTTTATATGTAAGCCTTTCAGGATATTTCCATATGAGGGACTCAAAAACCAGTTGTATTTTTTTTTTTTTTTCTGACAGGCAGAGTGGACAGTGAGAGAGAGAGACAGAGAGAAAGGTCTTCCTTTGCCGTTGGTTCACCCTCCAATGGCCGCCGCGGCCGGTGCACCACACTGATCCGAAGCCAGGAGCCAGGTGCTTCTCCTGGTCTCCCATGGGGTGCAGGGCCCAAGGACTTAGGCCATCCTCCACTGCACTCCCTGGCCACAGCAGAGAGCTGGCCTGGAAGAGGGGCAACCAGGACAGAATCCGGTGCCCCAACTGGGACTAGAACCCGGTGTGCTGGCGCCGCAAGGTGGAGGATTAGCCTAGTGAGCCACAGCGCCGGCTCAGTTGTAGTCTTAAATTTTCATTTCCATGAAATCAAATCTGAAAGGAAATATCCTTTGGTGTCAGCATTTCTCCAGAACAGCCTTTAAAGAAAACCCAAGATGGTCTGGGGCTGGGTATTGTAGATGAAGCTCAACTCAAACTGCTTAATTGAGACCTCAGTTACTGCAGAATGCTAGTTCTGTACTGCCAAGTATGTTGAGAGCTTCCCATGTTTCAGAATTTGAGGTGCATTTTTATCATCTTCACACACCTCTAAGTTGCTCTTATTCTTTTTATAGACCTGGAAACCATAGAATAGCTCCTTGCTCAGTGTCACACTGCTGGTAAAGTAGTGCATGGAGCTGAGATGTGGACTGGGAAGAGCCTTGGACTGAGGAAGAATGGCTATTCCCCAATGCCACGACTTTCCTTGATTCTACTTTCTTTTCTTATGAAATGAAAACATAAAGTGCTGACTAGCACAAAAATACTGTGCCTCTTAAGTTGAAATTGAGCTGACAGCTGAGAAGGGAGTACTCACAGGGATGGGCGGAGCAGTGGCCATGCCCAGAAGGCCAGCCAAGATGAGAAATTTCATCCTGAAGGTTGAGCCTGGAATTGAAGGGTTAAGAGATCGTTTCTAGCAACACCTGACAAACCCCCCCCCCCCCATCTTATTTCATTGTAAATAGATTGTTGAGTTAGAAGTGTTGAAATAGGAGACAGACTAAAGCCTGCTTTCCAATTCAGGTTTGGTAAGTCTACAAAATAACATCTAATGTGTTTAGATGAGAAGTGCACTCTTTGGCTCCAGTATGAGCTTCCAGATCATCCTGATAACCTTACAGTTCAATCTATGCTTAAGACTGTAATCGCCAACCACAGGCTGCGTCATGCTTACTATTGGGAAATGATCCCTACTGGCTAACCCAAGATTTCTCTGTGATATGTGAATAAATCCTCCAGGTGCTCGCATCTCTGAGCCCTGCTAGGTCTCCCTGTGGTCTGGATGCTGTTATTGGCAATTATAGTTTTTCAGGAAGGAAATTGTAAAGGAAAAATTCTGTAAGGTAAAATTGGTTGGTAGAGAATAGATACAGTATAAGTAAATTCAATAAAAGAAATTTATGTGATCTTTATGGACCTGTTGGTTCTACATATAAATCTTTTTCTGTTCTTAAAATCACATTTAGTTCAGATGAATTACCTTGTAAGTTTCAAACAAGATCACTGTGCTCTGGAATTGGATTTGGGGAAAAAGAAACTTCATCATTTTCTTATTAAGATATCTCTACTATATGAGGCAAATTAAATATTTATCTAATTATTCTTGAGCTGTTTCATATATACTTAAACTCAATTCTAGTTTATCTTAGAATTTAGCCAACTTATCCTCTTTCCCTTCATTTTTCATGTTTTTTCTTTATGTTTTTTTCCTTTTCTGTATTCAAACGCCTGGTTTTCTTTTTTCCTTGATAAGTGGAAGTAATCATTAAATTATCCAACACAAGAATATCTTACATTCTTTAACTAGTAAATTATACGTATAGCTGTTTAATTACCTTTGCTTGAAATGGCCCTCGGAGCAACAAATTCAAGGAGCAGTGTGATCTCCAGTCCTTATGCCCATCTAATATTTAAGCCATATCACTAATGCCTTTGTGGTCATGGGTAATATGAGTCACAGAATTCAAAGCTAAACTACATAATTGGTTTCAGACTAGAAACTCTAATGTCTAAATCTCAGTTATACAG